CGCTAACAGAAGGTTGGCTTGACCAATATTGGGCACCGGAAGTCGATTTCAGTCCCTTCCGCGCGCTCTCCCGTCGCCAAATGGCGTTCCCGTTCTGTTGCTAAATCAGCCTATTGTTTATTCTGGTCGGCAAGATTTGCCCTTTTTGGGTTTCGTTCCATTTCCCGCGCGGCCAAACCGAAAATCCCGTTCATCGATCTTTCTTCCCTCCGAAACCAAACGGAAACGCTTGCTACGCACGCTACCAAAATTTACGTTTCTCACACTTGAATCGGATGTATTAGAAAGCGCTCATATACTGAGTTTGGGATGTCTATGCTTCAAAAGGAAACTCCCGGAAGTGTTAACGTTTGCTGAATGGAAAGCGCCCCCATGGCGCCCTTCCTTTCATCTGAAAATAACTTGTTATTCACACGCGAATGAACTCATTTCCATATCTGTGATTGTGCACTAGGATTTAGCCTCGTTTTGAAAGAGAGGTGTAAGACAAGTCAGAACTGAGCTATTTGAAAATAGGTACAAATGAAATAATTTAGAATAACGCGCTGCTAACACTTTTGGGGACGACACAAATGAGATGATCTATACTTCATGGTATTTGCTAGTCAGTGATCGATATGGAACGGCCAGAATAAATATTGTGCGACTGCAGATTTGATATGAGTTGGACAACCAAGGTATGGCATCAAACACATTAGCATTGCTTATGATGGGGATTGTTTGTTAAGCTAAAAATGAGCTACAAAGTGTTGTTGTGGCTAAAAGTCTTAAAAGTGGAAAGAATGACAAGCCGCTTAAAACGTTAAAACGTTTTCTAAGAGCACTGGCGGGGCGGCAAGCTTTTGGCTTTTAGGCGTAAGCTTTCAAAACTTCCGAGACTTAAAACTATTCTACCGACAATGGCAAATGGGAATTGCAATTTTTATTTACTTGGTAACTGTATTTCTAAAGAAGACGGTACAGGAATTAGACTCAATATTGATATAACCTTGGCATTTATTGCGTACAATTTTGATTCACCAGAAAGCCTAGAAACTGCTCCAAGTAATAATGGGTACTTTCTTTTTTAAATAGATCGGATCGTTTTCCATGAAACTGAAATCTTACGCTTCATACTGTCTCACGTCCTCTCCAGTTGTTTTCATCGACAGCAATGACGAATTTTGACTTTTGCCACGTTTACTGTGAAAAAGTTAAATCATGACAAGGTAACGTTGAGAGAAAACGCAATGTACCTTGCTGTAAGTTGATTTCTTCATCTGTATGGCTATCGTGTTGTGTTGACGGATTCAACGTGCAGCACAGGAAGCAGTTTTTCTTTTTACTGATGTCCTGCTCGCAACCTGACATGCTACGGAAATGTTTCGTTAATCTTTTTTTCCCACAGTATCTTCCCGTACGAACTAATTTCTCCTAGACTATTTTTAAATGACTTTAAAGCAAGACACTATGCTTTAAAGTTAATGGACCCGTGCATGTCTTGTTAGTAAGCATATCGCCGTTGTTATACCGTAAAATACCGAAAATAAGCCCCTCCTTGTATAAGCCCCCCAAACTCGCAACGCAAAAAACCCTCCGTTAAACCGCCCCTCCAGTATAAGCCCCCCGAGGGGCTTGTACCTGGAAATTGCTCTCAAATACAAAGTAAAACAAAGAAAAACGGTAAATTTCCTTACAAGAAGAAGGCTACCCCAATCGATTTTTAAACGCAAATTTCCCTCCGTACATAAGGCCCTCCGAATATAAGCCCCTTAAAAATGGCCTTTGAAAAATATAAGCTCCGGGGCTTATTTTCGGAATTTTACGGTATTTTATTACCTTTTGTATTGATTAGAGGCAGAGTTATGAGAATCTCCATGACTATTTTCTACATAATCGAAGTCGCGACAATTGAGCAAGTTGATTTTTGTCTCGTCGAGTGGAAAATGCATCTCCTTTGTTCACTCAAGGGTCCGCTTCACCCAATTTTCTAGGAATACCCCTGCCTTGAGTATTAGGGAGCTTAAGCGACAAGGATACTCTGGGTACCAGAGGTTTTTTCTCGCGTGCGACGAGGGGCTTTCGCCGGGGGGCCGGCCTGCGGCCGAAGAAACGAACGGCAGCGAAAACGGCACCAAAAAAGTGAATTCGCGCTGTTTCAAACTTCATTGCCCTTATTCCAACTCTTTTAATTTTTTAAATGTTGGCGATTTTTTCAGGAGTTGAATTCTAAAGGACTGACATAGGTTGTCTTGTGTTTAGGTCCTCCACAGAACGTGAAGGAAAGTTTCACTTGTAGTAGTCGTACAGTAACAGCAAAGAAATGTACAAAAAAGCGTGATGCACGTGCAAAGTTGTTGTTTTGCTAATCTCTTACCTTTTTGCCGTTCTCGTTGCCGTCGCCTTCGTCGTTGCTTAGCTCCTTACTGTTGATTCCACGCGGGAGTAGCGTTTAAGCCGCCTAAATTGCGGAATTTTTAAGAGTTCTGTCATTGTGTCAATAGCCAGTTCTACCGAAAGAAAATTGCGGTGAAGGGAGTTAAAATGTTGCGACTAAGAGACACTAACTTAAGCCTAATCTAAGCTAGCGTGCCACCCGGTACTCCAAAAGCGATAAGATTAATATCTGAATGAATGGATAACAAGACCACACGAGTAGGCAATACACAATGCTACAAGATTTGCCAAGAAATGAATATATTTGACAGGGCGTCTTGAGACAAGGCAAGTGAGAAAATCCCTACAGAAATCAGTCCTTGCTGCATAACCACAAAGCAGGCAGAGAAGCTATAGAAAAAGGCCGGGGATTGTCTCATCTCGGAGCGTGTTATACGTTACAGGTCCAACGCTCGTTCATTATCAGCGAGATTCAAAGTCCAGAACTTGATGACCATCCACTTCTTCAAGGTACCGCGGAGCTTAGTTTAAGCAGCTAGAGAGTTGGTAGGAAGTCTAGAGTAAAACTTAAAGCAAAGTTAGCCAAACCGAGGCATGTGCGTGAATGGGATTTGGTAAAATCAGGCGATTGTGCATGCGTGATGGACGGATACCGCGAGTTCCGCTGAAGCACCTTAATGAAAGAGCTATTGTCATGGATAATTACTATCAAGATGTTTACGATTTATAATCATTCGCGCTGGTAAACAGTGTCCACAAGAACGCACGCGATAAATGGGAGTCGACATCTCATTTCCGCAAACTTTTCCGGGGTGGAAAAATGAATAAAAGCACATTTCACAAAAACAAAAACGGCGATTTTTTTCCTTTTGTGAGCGCATGAGGAAGCTCGATTTAGTTTACTTTACTGGTAATGTGTGTACCTTTTAATAAGAGGTGTTCTTTTTCATTGCATCCGATATGCACGTGACCAAATCATAAATGTCTACGACAGAATGTCGGTTGAAATATACCGGTAGTGAAACCTTTTACGGGGTTTTATCGCTGCTTAGTTTTGCAACAGAAATAAGACAAGTGTGTCATACACGCGAAGATCTTAGCAGGGATATTAGAAGGAGTAATCGTAACTCAATTTACTATGGTTTTAAACTGCTTCAATGGGTTTACTAAACCCATTGAAGCAAGATAGTTAATAGCGACACTTTATATACAAGGTGCACGGAAGGCTGATTATCTTTCAAGTTGAAACAGTGCAAAACCCTTTTATCTTTTATTAAACGATTCGAGGATTTGTATCCTATTAAGAATGGTCATGCACAATCATTTAGCACGATTAGATACAAGTTCTCGGGTTCTTTGCTGCGTTCCGATGTTTTGACAATTTACTTTGAAGATTAAAACTCAGATGATAAAAGTCTTTGTGAGTGGCTAATTAGCATTGTGTCTTGCACGTCAGTTTATAGACGACTGCATCCAGTTAATAATAGCTTCTTTCAAACGAACTTCCTCAACCGTGAAGCTTAAGCTAACTGAACGGACAGAAGCCTACTACTGAAGGGTTGAATGCAGTTTACATAAACAACTCGAAAAACGGAACGTCGTCACTATTGCCACGGAATTCAGGGACAAATGTGGGATGATAACAAGCATTTGTAATTATTTTAGAAACAGTTAAGAAATCTTAACCGTACTTCAAGGGAAATGTCGGTACGACTTGTATTATAAAGTGAACACAAACGGAGTTTTGCACCACAAGTCATAATGTGCAGGCCGGTCTCAGGTAGATTACCGGTGATATTTTGAGCAGTGCAAATTGTATATCAATATCTTATAAGTCGGAACACAACCAAGTTTCTCACTATACAAGGAATATAAAACTCCTGAGTGTTACGGAATGTTCCATCAAAATTCGTCACAAAACGCTTTGCCGACAAGCGCAGGGAATTCAGAAACACATTTGTGACCTTTATGGCAGCCGCTGACGATCAGAACTCTGCACCAAGAGCTGAAAAGAAGGCATTGAAGCGTGATTTCATGTTGTTTGGTTGAAACTTAGAGACATTTACTGTAAGTTTTACTCAATCAAGACTGCTCAAAATGTCCTCATTAATTTGAGGTCCGTTTGACGTTGAAGTTATTTATTTGCCGCAGAGTTGATAACTACTGAACAAATAATTGCAAGGTGACTAGTAATCACGAATTAAGCGTTATTGCTGAACTTTAATTAGGATTTCTCACCAGAATTTTCTTAACTTAATGGTACGAAATAGCAACACGCGCTATAAATAGTACTGGCAGTTAACACGTGGTTATCGACTTTGTTTTTCAGGTTCACACTTACAATTATTATCAAAGACAAGTTTCAAGCCGCTAACAATAAACAACTACATATACCTGCCCTGGATATGACGTTTCTCACAGTTTCATGGAGTTTGTTAATTTTCTCAATCGCCTTGCCTCTTTCTTGGTCCCAAGATGCGGACGAAATGAAGAAATGTCCCACGGAATGTCACTGCACAGCGATGAACATGGTTTATTGTGGTCTCGAGGAGGGATTAAGAAAGTTGACAATTTTCCCGTCGTTTATTCCTGTTCGAGTGAAAATTTTATCACTCTTCAGAAATATGATTACAAACATCCCGGAAGACTCGTTGAGGAATCTTACACAGCTGACGACCTTAAATCTGAGATCCAACATGTTGCGTGATTTACCAGGGTCGATATTCCGTGACCTTGCGAAGCTCAAATCATTCAACGCAGGTCACAATGAGCTATCAACGCTTCCCAGGCAATTGTTTCATGGTTTAAACAACCTCCAAGAAGTTTATCTCGACAACAATGCACTCGAGAACATCCCTGAGGATTTATTTCAAAATTTACCGTCGCTTAAGCGATTGCATTTGCACTTCAATAAACTGAAGACATTTCCCGGGAATGCTTTCCTTGGAACGCTGTCGTTACAAGGTTTGTCACTTGCAAACAACTTTTTGGCAGCTATTCAAGATGAAACATTCAGAAATCAAAGATGTCTCAGCAGACTCAATCTAGCATGGAACAGAATATCCCGCATAGGGGTAAATTTATTTAACGGGCTGGGTTCGTTAACATCACTGAGGTTGGAAAATAATAACATGACATCAATTCCACAGGGAGTGTTCAGAGGACTGAAGCCAGGAACAGTCGTTTTTCTTAACGGTAATCCCTTTTACTGTGACTGTAAATTGCGGTGGTTGAAGCACTGGCAGCGGACAAAGGCCAAATACACTCAGTCCAGCTCTAGATCAAGACCAACCTGCTCTCAGCCAAACCGTTTCCAAAATAAGCCCCTTTTGTACGTACGTGATGACCAGTTTGTCTGTGTCGAGCGACAGTGGACAGAATGGAGCCCTTGGAATGCCTGCAGTGTAACTTGTGGCACTGGAACACAAGTCTCGATTCGACGTTGTAAAGATCACCAATCAGGGAGAAAGGGAGAGAAATGTAACGGAGAGAGTATTAGAACAAAGAGCTGCCATAGTTTTGACTGTGGAGCAAGCTGGACCAGTTGGTCAGAATGGAGCGAATGCAGCAAAACCTGTTCATCTGGGAATAAAGTAAGAAAAAGATCTTGCCAAAATTCTCTCACCTTGGAAAACAGCGACAACTGTGAGGGATTGTTCCTGGAGACACGCTCCTGCAGCCGAAGGCCTTGCAAAGTTGATGGTAAATGGGGGACGTGGTCTAGATGGTCTTCGTGTAGTGTAACCTGCTCCTGGGGTACCAGACTAAGGACAAGGAGATGTGATAACCCACGACCCCAGTACGGCGGGAAGCCGTGTCCTACATCTGAGAGGAGTATTGAAAGAGAAACATGCTACATAGGACTCTGTCCCATTCATGGCAGGTGGTCTGCTTGGTCGAGCTGGTCCCAGTGCACCACTACATGTTTCACCAAGGGTCGAGCTACAGGTACACGGAAAAGAAACAGAGTCTGTAATAATCCAGTTCCTCAGTATGGTGGGACTTTCTGCAATGGAAATGCAACACAACAGGAAAATTGCAACTCACAAGCATGCCCCGTTCATGGCGGATGGACAGATTGGTCGGATTGGTCTGTATGTTCAGTGACTTGCTCCCAAGGAATACAAGTGCGGTTTAGAACTTGCAGTAACCCATCACCGCAACATGGTGGCCAGAATTGTTCAGGGAATTCTTCTGATTTAAGAAACTGCGACTCTGGGCCATGCCCTGTTCACGGAAACTGGGCGGCATGGTCACAATGGAGTGATTGTAGCAAGACATGCTCTCATGGGACGAAATCCCGTAAAAGAACATGTAGTAATCCTTACCCACAGTTTAAAGGTAGACAATGCTCTGGCCAATCCACAGAAATCCAACTCTGCCATGCAAGCCCTTGTCCTATCCATGGTAAATGGTCAGCCTGGTCTGAATGGTCAGATTGTAGTAGCAGCTGTTCCAGAGGTAAAATATCTCGGACAAGAACTTGTACTAACCCTTCCCCCTCCAACGGAGGTGAAACATGCATAGGGAACAACACTGAAACAACATGGTGCCGGATAATACCATGCCCTACTCATGGAGGGTGGAGTGACTGGACTAACTGGACAAGATGCACCAAGAGTTGTGGCAATGGAATAACGTCAAGATACAGGAAATGTGAAAATCCTCACCCTCAACATGGAGGAGGAAACTGTATTGGAGATAAGCAGCAGAGTAAACATTGCTCTCAACAAGTCTGTCCTGTGGTTGGACAATGGACAGAGTGGTCAAACTGGACGGATTGTAGTAAAACATGTGATGTGGGGCAGCAGACAAGAACAAGATCGTGCAAAAGTCCAAATGACAGGTCTGTTCAAAGCGCAAGGGACAGTGACTGTACTGGCAATGAAACTGAGATGAGGGTATGCTCTCAACGCCCTTGTTCTGATCCAACTAGATGGAATATGTGGTCAAGCTGGTCACGATGTTCCGTTAGTTGTGGGCTTGGAAAACAGCACAGAGTTAGGAATTGCAGCACAAGAGAAGGAGATGTTTGTGTTGGTCCATTTATGCAGCTTAAAAGCTGCTACCATAATAACTGTCCAGTGAATGGTGGATGGAGCAACTGGTCTAACTGGACAAAATGCTCGTCCTCTTGTGGCTTAGGAATCCAGGTAAAGTTTAGATTCTGCATCAATCCCAAACCTCAGTTTGGAGGTAAGAGTTGTTATGGTGAAAATGTCCAGTTTAACAGTTGCAAGATAGCCAAGTGTAGAGAGGAAAGCCATCAACATGATTCCTTTTGGTCTTCTTGGACAGGCTGGTCTCAGTGCTCTACTACATGTTCTAAAGGATACCAGACTCGTTCGAGGTATTGTAGAAAGTATCAAAGTCCACTTCATCTTGGCAACTGTTCAGGAGCTACAGGACCAGTTCAAATAGAGACCAAGATCTGCCAAATGAAGCCTTGCTCAACATGGAGCAGTTGGTCCATATGGGAGGCTTGTAGCCAATCATGTGGTGGAGGTAGGCAAAAGCGAGTAAGGCGATGTAAAAGCTTTACAGCTCAAATGACCTGTCAGGGAGAAAACTCACAGGCTGTAAGCTGCAATACTCATCCATGTTCTCCTACAGTTGCTCCGATAACTTATCCACCAAAAATTACTTTAGGCTTACCAAACAGGTGCCCTGATCCTGAAAAGCCACTGAATGGTTACTTCAAGATCATTGACCAAGATGGCTCTTACTTTGTAACCTATTATTGCAAAAAATATTACTTTCTACATGGACCAAAGTTGCGCCATTGTGAAAGTGATGGCACATGGTCTGATTATGTACCATACTGTCTGCCTAAATGTGGAGAGTCTAAGTTAACTCACACAAATGTACAACTTCAGCGATTAAGAATATTTGGGGGTGGTACATCAACTCCTGGTTTATGGCCATGGCAGGTGGCACTGATAGTGAATGGCTTTTTTCACTGTGGTGGATCTCTCATTGCCGAAGACTTGGTAGTGACAGCTGCTCACTGCATCTTTCAAAGGAAAACAAGGAAATTCCACTCAAACATTACTGTTCGCCTGGGAGTTCACGATATATCATCAGAACCTCAAGATCCTAACATCCAAAGCATTGACAGCAAAGAAATCATTCCACATCCTAGTTTTAACTGGAGGACGTTTGACTCAGATCTAGCCTTAGTAAAACTCAGATGGAAGGCTAACATAACTGACTATGTGCGCCCTGTGTGTTTACCAAATAAACAGCAACGTCGAAAAGTTCGCCCAGGTGCTTTGGGTGTGATGTTAGGGTGGGGTCTCACAGAGGATGACAATCCAACCACAGAGTTACAACAAGTGTACATGCCAGTAGTTGAGCACTCTCGATGCCAAAAGGCTTATGAGAAAGAACGTTGGCCTGTTACTTCTAACATGATATGTGCAGGTTATGCTGGTAATTCTAAAGACTCTTGTAAGCGTGATAGTGGAGGAGGCTTTCTATTTAAGGATTCCAAAGGAAACAAGAAAAAATGGTTTTTGGGAGGGATTATAAGCTGGGGAAACCCCAGATGTGGAACTCCTGGAAAGTACAGTGTTTTCACTCAAATAAATGGTAGATTTTTAAGGTGGATCAAAAATTATATTTACAATTGAAATTTGCTCATTTATCAATGCAGCATTTGAGTATTTAAAAGATATTATTCAAACACAAAGTTATAAAGGAAAAAAAATAATAAAAGTTTTATTGGCAAACCACCAAAGCCTCCATCCCTGCAGGCATTCTCTTATAACATTTCATACTATAAACTTATTGTCAGTGTTACAAAAGGCAGTCTAACCAAATAAAAAATGTTAAGAAACATAGGTCCCAAAATATAATTGGCTTTTCCCTACAGTTGTATTTAATATTAGTCTTTCCAAAGCAACTGTTCTAGATTCTTGCTACAATCACGTCTCTTCTACACAACTGCTTGTTTAGCTCAAAAGGTAATATAATCATATAAGCAGTACAGTGTACCAAAAGAACCAATCCTCAAAGCTTGCCAATAAAACCAACTTTTGCCAGATGAGTTGTAATTAGTCACAAAAATGTTTCAATTTTTTATATGAATTTTAACTTTGCGGGAAGTAATTCATACAATCAAGGGTTTACCAGTATTCAAAAACTTACAGTTTAAGGGAATATACAAAAGTGAAAAGAAAGTGCATAAGAAAAGAACTTAACGAGTGATGAGCTGGCCCATTGTGTGGTTCATGAAAATGACTACAGGTCCACTCCATGAAGGCCACAATTTAAAAAAGGGGGCTCAAACCAAAAGAATAACCCTCCTGTAGGGCTGTCACAAGGGGCCGGCTACTACAAACATGACCCCTTGCTACTTGAAAGAAAACAAAAAGGAAAATACTAGCCTGCATAGCAGGCGTTATAGTGTTCGCCCATCCTTTCTTGCACCCATTTATTCCTAGCGCCTGCTATGCAGGCTAGGAAAATACATGTACCCGTAGAACCAAAAGAATTAATCCTAAACTGTTCAATTACCACCTTGCTAATTGCGTGTACCTTAGGAGAGTAGTTTGATTTCTGCAACAACAAAATACACTAAAACGATAATTTGACAAATATGTGGCCAATACAGTTAGCTGAGGCGGGCACATAACTGAATAACATGTCACATTGATGAGATTTGACAACATAATATGATGTGTGAAAAGTTTGAGACCTGAGAATTTTGGTTTTGGAAGGCTAGCATAAAAAGGATAATAGTTCGTAAAACACTATGATCTTACTGGTTTCAATCACCAACACCCTCCTTGGATTACCCAGCCCAGTACCCTACATATGGACTATGCGAGGATGTGCAGCTCAGTGTACTTTTTGCCTTGTTCACTCCATGATCTTTTCTCTTCCGCAGACAGCTTTATTGTATACTCTGGAACAGGGTTTATTTTCCCCCAGCATCACTATCACACATCAGATGAGAAATTCTGCTTTCCCCATTGTCTTGTCACTGTACAACAGACAGGATACCTTGTGCTTTGTGGAATGTGCTATTCTCAAGTAGGCCATTTCGTAAAACATGCTGATGAAAAAGGATGTAAAATGATTTGATTCCGCATTAGAATAATTGCTCAAAATTAGCCATATGTTCATGTATGGATTCATTTTGACCTGGAGAATCATTAAACACAGGGCCATTTAGCAATTTTTTTTTATCTAGCTAAGGATTGCAAACTTACTTTTTTTGTTAGTTTATTATATGGGAGATGTGCAAATAATGAGTAACAGAAGGAAGTGCCAACCCCTGGAAAGGGATAGGCAAAACTTAATTCATTGCAACTACACATCAGCTTCTTCCAGTAGTGTATTAATAATTTTCTCAATACAGTAGAACCTTTGCCTTTGTTAACTCAAACTCCCCAACAACTTTTAAGAACTAACTCTACTTTCCCCTTTTTTTCAGTTTTCAATGCATTTCAACCAGCCAACTGTAACTTTGACCAAGTGAAACCGTTTTTTGTTTCCTTTTTGTTTGAGTTGGTAGGGTATATGTATTCCTTTGCAGAGGGTGTAAGAGGGTTTCTCATTCACAACATACAGTCATACAGTCAGGGCACAATTTAAGTGGTGTCTTATATCTGGGGTTATAGAGAGGAGAGGTCATTACGTCACGTTGCCATGGTAGCAACACTTTTGGATGACAAATAACCGAAAATGTCACTTAAAAAGTGGATTCGCACAGCTTCAAACTTCATCGATCTTATTCAATTTCATTTCATTAGAAAAATGTTGGCAGAATTTTCTAGGGTTGAATCCGAAAGGACTGTATCTAAGTTTAGAAGAGGAAAAAGACAACTTTTGTGTTGTGTTCACCGACTCCATAAAGCAAGAATGTGAAGTTTCATGTTGCAGGGGTGCAACAACGGCAAAGAAACATACAAAATAGCGTGATGCACGTGAAAATTTGTTGTTTTGTCAATAAAAACCTTTTATTTTTTTGCTCTTCTTCCGTTGCCATCGTGGTTGATTTTGCTATCATCCAGAAATAGTGCTACCATGGTGACGTGACATCATACTTCTCCTCTCTATTAACCATTTTCATTAATCCCACTTCAGGGCCAATTGAAAGGTGGAAAACAGTATTCACTTGATAAATCTCTATCCAGTGGATAACGCAAATTGCTTTCCCTAATGATTTTTCTGTCAATAGTGATTTATCTGGTGGATATAAGCGCTATCCAGCATTGAATATCAGGGTCAACCACAGCATGTTAATGACTTATTTATCACCACCCCCAGGAATTTGCCCAATCTCGTCCCAAGGGTTCCCTCCTATCCCTCCCTATGGAGTGACAGAGAGACCCATAGCTAAAAAATTATATACTCTTTCAAGATTCTGTTTACGTCCTTTCATTTGAACAATCAACCTGAGTCCAGGTGATGTATTCTCTCTATACATCTTTTCTGCGCCCTTTTGAACTGCAGAGTCGTGGTCTTAGAACACATACATTTGTTTTCTTAAGTGGCCTCCACAACACAGAAATGGCAATTCAAATCTAGTGCGTTTCAGTATGAATACTACTACCTATATACCAAACATTTTTGGAGAAAAAAGCGTCCCCAATAGATTAACATCCAATCGAACGATTAAAGTTGTGCTTTTCGCTGTCAAATATTTTGTGCATTATTTTCAGTGCTAGATGTCAGGTCAGGTACACAGTTTCATGTGTGCACTTCCACTGACCTGTCTATGCTCTTTAGAGACAAACCTCACACTTATCTGCCCCTCCCCCAAATTGTTTGTTTGTAATCTCCCAGATTCTGGGAGACACATGACCAGACCCAACCAGCGTCTCTCGACAAGTAGGAGAGAGAATCTGGGAACAAGATTAGTCTTGAACATGACCTGCTACCTTTACTGGTCAGTATAACACACGGACTGCGGACTGCGGACTGCGGACTACGGACTGGGTATAAAATACGGACTAGGTGTAAAACGCGGACTGGAAAATACGGACTGGGTATAAAACATGGACAAGGTATAAAACGCGGACTGCCGACTACGGACTGGGTATAAAATACGAACTACAGACTACCCACTTTCCCATTTTGGTCTGGAATCGGGTATGGTTTTCGAGAGAACTACGGGAGCGTACATGAATGGACGTATTTATCGTTTCAATTCCTAGTGAAATGCATTTGGAGAATGTTTTTGTCTCTGCTCTAACTTAGTAATGATGACATAATTTCTGCCTAATTAGACCTAACCTGTTCCAGCCTCCGAGATAGTTGGGTCCACTGAATTGGGAAAGCGAAAACACGAAAATAAAACGGGAGAAAAGGGAGTCTCCCCAACTATCTGAGAGCCTGGAACAGGCTAAATTAGGCCAGGTCCGAAAATGGGTATGGATTTTAGAGATCTGGTCTGAAAACAGGTGTGGAAAATGACATTTTTTGGTCTGCAAGAAGGTCAGGATTCGGAGAACCGGGCACAACACCCCCACCAAGAATTCCCAGTAGTACCCCCCTCTGGGATCAGGAGCAGAGTGTAAATCATGTCATCATAATCATCGCTTAGAATATACAGTTGGATGACTCATTTCGGTTATTATTCACGTACGTGAGTAATCCCTCACCCCTAAATACTGCTTTTGTGCATCGCGGAATGCCCTACATTGAGCTTCTCATCTGAGTTCTTCATTCAGTCCTCATATTCCCAAGGCTTTATTTGAAACGGAATTGTGGCATCCGATAAGAATTTTACTGATCTGACAAACACCAATAATATTTTTTTTAATTCGGTGCTTCTTATTGGTTTAAAACTGCAAATTGAAATCTCTTCTAACTCCTTCTTTTTATAAAATTCAGAGTATAATTTCAGTTGCCTTGAGTACTGGCATAACCTTCCTTCTCCTTGGGAAGAATAGACTACGTGAACAGCCAAGGGAATGTTAAAGCTGGGACTACTGTTTTTGCTAGTCTGTTTTCCACTTCTCTCAGTTTTACTTTCTAAAGATGTTTTTATACGCATTTCATATCTAGTCCTTGTTTTATACTCAGTCCGTAGTCCTCATTTTATACCTAGTCCGTGTTTTATACTCAGTCCGGAGTCCTCATTTTATACCTAGTCCGTATTTTATACCCAGTCCGCAGTCCGTGGTCCGCAGCCCGCAGTCCATCTTTTATACTGACCGCTACCTTTACCCCTGAGTTAACTTTTGAGTTTAAACAATGTGTCCTAGGTTTGGTTGAAAAACGTTCCATGTGGAGAAATGTGAGGACTGTCGGGAAGTCAGGTGGGAGTTGCACTTTCCCTGGCCACAAGGGAGAGACCAAGTTTCTTAATTTGCTTGGCGCATTTTATCTAAATTGTCTAAAGGACGTAAAATTTCATTCATTTGCAGATTTCGCCCCCTTACTTCGCGTTGGTCAAGTCGTAAACTCTCTTTGCCCGTCTACGGAGGAGAATTGTTCATCCTAGCTATGCTATCGTGATCTTTTCTCTGGTGTCGATAGCAAATAAACAACCAATGACCAGCGGCTAAATCGTATTTTTCTAAGCGCTGCACTTTATCTCGTTCTCAGTCTCCCTAGTCTCCACTCATTTTGAAGAACACCATCTCCCAGAAATTTTTGGCGGTATGAAAAGTCGTATGAAAACATTTGTATTCGTCGTGTTCATGTTTGAATTTTACTGCATTTCAGTTTTGTAATGGATTCCCCCCTTAACTGGGTAAGTCTCGTCTAACCTACATGCAGTTCCGACATTGCATGACTTCACAACAAACCTTCGTTCACTTGTCAAAAATTGTCAAATATGTTAAAGTAATAGTGTCTTCATGCATGGTTGAACAAAAATGTATATATTTTCTATGGAATTTTATGGCAAAGAAGCAAGCACTTCAACAAGGAAATCAATTTTTTTCAAGTGTGTAGAGATAAATGGCTCTGCTGTCTTCACTTCATTTTTTTTTTTTTTGTAGTTGATGAATTAGATTTAGTTGACTGAAATTGAGAACACTGCTTATGTTCATGCACAATTCCCTTCTGTCTTTGTGCATCCTCGGAGACCCAGGGACAGATAGTGGGGGCGAGGGAAAGTCTAAACAGGCGGGAAAATATGGCACAAGAGAAAAGTAAAGAACGGTGAGAAGAGCCCCTGGGGACAATGTCTTACCAGACCAGTTCCAAACGGTCGCCGCCGTTCTGTCTTCTGATTGGTGCCAGAAAACTTGTGTTTTTCTGGCACCAATCAGAAGACAGAACGGCGTCGACCGTTTGGAACTGGTCTGGTACAGAGATTCCAACCCTCCCGATTTGATCGGGAGTCTCCCGATTTGATGTCTTGCCTCCCGCTCTCCCGATTTTTACCAAATTCTCCCGATTTATTATAAAATTCTGAAAACTAGGGAAAAATTGCTAATCTTTAGAATTTTTGGCGATCTGTCACTGTGAAACACTCATATTATACTTACTTTCTTCGCGAAGAGCATTATGGTATGTTATAACTCAGGCCGGAATGATGTCAAAATTCAGGAAATGGCACTTGAGAGAACCTAAATTTGCAAAATTTCCCAGGGGCATGCCCCCTGACCCCCCTAGAAGCTCGCACCTTTGGCACTAATAATTACTCCCTATTTTCCATCACATGGGGTTGGAATCTCTGCTGGTAAGACATTGTCCCCAGGGGCTCTTCTCGCCGTTCTTTTCTTTTCTTCGTGACATATTTTTCCGCCCGTTTAGACTTTCCCTTGCCCCCACTATCTGCCCCTGGGTCTCCGAGGATGGTCTTTGTGAGCGTCACATAAATGATAATTTTTTTTTACAATCTTAACTTATGAATGACCCAGTCAAATTCTAAGCACAGTTCATGAGTCAATTCCTGCCCCAGCCCCTCCCTTCAGACAAACCCCCACCCCAAACCACATTAGTATTTTCCTTTTTATTTGTCTTTCTTGTCTTGGCTTAGCCTCCCATGCAAACAGTCTTTAACAGTTATTGAATAAGGCTGAGTATGATGTGAAGAATTATGCAGATCAAAGAGAATGTTATTGGCCAAATGCAAGGTGAATAACAGCTGCCAAGATCAGCATTTATAACTATTCACGTTATACAAAAGCTGATTTCATGATGTTGATAAGACTGAGTGGAGTCCAATTCCGGCTGTAATCATATTTCGAGTGATAAACAAGATCGGACGACCACTTAGTTTGCCTGTGTGCAGACGTCTCCTATTTCCTTTGTTGCACGCGGAAAAGGGATGTCTGCGTAACGCCGTCGCTAATCGTGTTCCAGCGTCCTGCTGGGTTCCCAAGATCTTGGGAACACGCTGTGATAGGCTGACACACAGTGCGCATTGTTTGACTTAACGCTGATTGGTTGTTATCGAATGTGGTCTGATAATGTATGCGGTGATTTAAATGATTTATGTAAGCGGGGTTTTCTAACCAAAACAAATCAAAACATGTGCGATTGTGTGCTGTGTTTTTCGTCGATCGAAAAGCAGAGCGATCGAAATCTTGTACGGGGACGCGGAAAATTTAACGTGTACGAGGAAATTATTTCTTTACAATTTGCTGTGTATGACACATCACATCGTATTTGTAAACAGTGTCTGAGAAAACTACAAAAGCAGCGTGGACTTCTCACCAGGCAGGCATTTCGGAGAAAGCCAGCCAAAGAAACTAAAATCTTTATTTAGCCGTAACAAACAGAGGTCAAGAAAATTTAAACACTTTACAACTGCATCTGAAATCAAATCCTATCAGGAACATCCACAGAAGCATAAACCACAGGAAATGATTACTCAGTATGCATGTAACAAACCTGCTTCATGACCTCTAAATGGAACACTTAAATGAGATTTACTGAGTCAAAGGTTAGAATGCTACATGCACTGTGTAGTGCTAATAATCTTCGCGCGAGAGAGAAAAGAAGAAAAACCTCTGTTCAAGCAGACTCTCAAGGTCACGTTTCGCCCGTATCACGAGCTTATGATGTTTTGTTTGGCCTGTCAACTCTTTATATTTCTAACCGGATATTATTTCACAATTTATGCGAAATAGAATACCCTGCCAGCGGGACGCTGGAACACGATTAGCGACGGCGTTACGCAGACGTCCCTTTTCCGCGTGCAACAAAGGAAATAGGAGACGTCTGCACGCAAGCAACCACTTAGTGGGATGTCTGATTTGTTTAATCATGAGTATGAAGTATGATCACAGACTGAATTGGACGACATGAAGTTCTGTTACCAATTAATCATAACTATAACAAAATTTATGATATTTTAGGTTTTTTTAAATGAAAAAAATAAATTTAGAGAGATTTTTAGCCAGCAGTAAAAACAAAGGCCATGTAAAGGCCTGTGCGCGTACTGTCCAATTACTTAGACATGAGATGTACTGTCCCATTACACTGTCCTATTAGTGCTAATCAGGGCAGTCGATAGCCAATCATATTTGGCAATTTTGTTATAGTTATGATGAAACAAGTTATTGTTTTTTTATTCATTCAAAATACTTCTGAAAATAGCAGAGGCCTCGGAGAGTGGGCACAGCTGCAACTGACAGATGCTGACATGTAAGCACTAAATTCGTAGGCTTGCAGTTCATTATTTTATTCTGTAACTGCTGCAGCTGCAATATATTATTTCACTTTTAATTGTTTGTAAACTTTTCTGCTCAACTGTTTTTCCAGGAAGCAATAAATGACTCATGATATTGTTCATTCACTGACAATCGTGTATTTTGTGTAGGCACATCAACAGGACAGAAAAGCTGAAGCATTGGTCAATAACAAGAAATTTGCTGATGCAATAGTGTGCCACCAAAAGGCATCAGGTAGAGTCTGGCACTCCTTGCCTTTTACTTGTGGTCACTACTCCAGTAACCAATTCCCCATTAATTTTTTACAGTTCTTTCTCAAAAAACACTTTGTATGCCCCCCCCCCCCCCCAAATTTATCATAACCATTGTTACCAATACCAAAAGAAATGCTAAATTATGCAAAAATTTCGGACGTAAACAAAGTTCAGTTTCATGGCAAACCAAAAATAGTTCAAAATGAACCCTGTGATTCTCACAATGACTATTCTAAATGCATTTAATTTTTATCCCAAGCCATGGAAATACTTTTGTCTGTAAATTCCTTTTAAGATTTTGGGCAAAATTCAAAGGAAAGATTCATTCTATTAAATGTTGAATGTAACTAAATGCAATCTCAGCTAATGAGGTAATGCTGGCCAGCAAGATATTAGCAAGGGAACAGCTTCACACTGGCCCTTGGGAATCAATACTGAAGTTTCTCTGTTGCTCATGTCTTTCATGAAGTGTTCAGCTGGGCCCAACCCAGCCCTCCCCTGGGTTAGTATTTGGTTAGCATGTGAAGTTTCCACTGGTAGTGAAACAATGCAGCAGTATGTGGGTAGATGCCACTCTCAGGGTTGTCATGGTTACATGCTGCACTTGGTAGTAGTTCTTGGCTACTCCAGCTTTCAGGCACCTCCTCCCACACACATCTTTGCTGATGAGTTTCATGTTTTGTTCTATTTTTATTGATTTTTTTCATTTTGATATGTTTCAGAGTTTCTTCAAGAAGCAATGAAGATGACTCAGGTCAAACAGGTATTGAACATAATAAATTACAGTCAAACCAGGTCAAGCATTCCCGTCGCTAACGAACTAATGAATTCATTCACGGAAAAATGATTTCGTTTGTTGATTCAATAATCCATTCATAAAATGAACAATCCAATAGTCATATTTACCCTCGATTTCATAATCGAATGTTGATTCGATTACTGTTTTTTGAAAATTACACTTTCCACAAGTTGACCTCAGAATTTTGTGTTTTCCTCTTTTTTTTTCCTGAGAGTCGAGAGCTGGCGAGTTCCGAAGTTCAAACCCAAACAAACTGTTACATGTATGCCAGTTTGCTGCCAGTAATCAGTGCAACAGACCTAGGCCTGACCTCTTAGAAAACACGACGGTCAAACTGAGGTCAGTGTATGTGCGGTGATTGGTGGATTTCGATCCTCGGCCTTTGTCAGTTTCTTTGTGTTTGCGGTCTGTCTATTCTAGCTGTTATTTTGATTAAAGGCAATGAAAAATGCAATCGTAAACGGCAGGAAAAGGGAAGCAAATACGATTGAACACAACAGACAAGAATAAAGAACAGGTAGATTTTGTTCATAAACCAAATCAACATTTGATTATTGAATCGAGGTACAATTTGACTGTTGGATTATTCATTTTATGAATGGATTATTGAATCAACAAACAAAATCATTTTTCCATTAATGAATTCATTAGTTTGTTAGCGACGGGAATGCTTGACCTGGTTTGACTGTAATTATAAATTATGTAACAAGGGAAAGATGTTCCTTTAGTTAGTGAAACGGATAAAAAAAAGAAAAAGTAAGTTTTCCTTGTAAGGTTTGGACCCACAGCTGTATTACCTTCTGGCAGCGTGCAAAGAAAGACCCAAGAAAGTAGTGTCCAGTAGCATGGGGCTGGTGGATTTTGCTATCGGGCTAGTGAATTCTGTTTTTAACTTGCCCAACAGGCAAGTGAAGTTTTGAGGAATTCGAATAACAGAAGAACTGTGAAATCAATTCTGCTGGTCAAAGAGTTTTTGGGGCTAGTTATAATAATAATAATAATAATAATAATAATATTTATAGAGGGAGCCCAACTCACCAAGGCGGTTTTCAGTGGCACCCTCATGCATTAATCTAGCTAATTAATTAATAATTACGAAAAAAGTAAAATATGTTTACAAGTAAAACAAATTTAAAAATTTAAAATCTTTAAATCGATTATACAAAAAAAAAATATCAAGGTTTAAAATTAGCTGAGATCTTTTAAAAAAGTTTTTAACTTGGATTTAAAAATAGATAAAATATTACACTCTTTTAAATCATTTGGGAGGCTGTTCCAGTCTTTCGCGGCGTGAAAAATAAAAGTTTGTTTACCCCAGTTTGTTCTGGGTAGGGGTAAGCGAATATCATTAGAGCGTCTTGTATTATCTGAATGAACAGCTTGACTTTTAGTAAAATTAAAGTTGAAATCGGTTTCTCCAATAAGACACTTGTGGATTGCAATGCAGCGATGAAAAAACCTTCTCGTGGACAGTGACTTCAAATCTAGACTTTTCAGTGCTTCAGTTGACGAGCTTCAGGGTGGTTGCCCCAGCATAACGTTAGCAGCTTTATTCTGTAGAATCTGTAATTCTGACATGATGGTGTCATTGTTCTTGTCCCCCCATATAACGTCTCCGTAATCAAAAGAGGGAGGATTAGGGCATTGTACAAGGCAACTCTAGCTTGTAGCGGCAATACTTTCCTGATTCTTCTCTTTAAGGACCGTGTGGCTATATTTTATACACTGTTCAGTTTGGATCTCTACCTGTTAAGAAAATATAAATTGGCAAATCAGAAGGCTGAAAAAAGGTTGCCAGGAAAACATTACAATACAAAATCTCACCGCATTTGTTGTGTTTAAAAGTTTCCTAACAATGAAATCAGTTGATTTCATATCCAAGTGGATGTGTGGTAGATAGATCTCCTCAAGAAAAAAGTAAACCATTGCAGCGAAGAATAAAACATTTTTTGATGCAGGAAGTAATGAATGCGATTTTTTAATGATGCTGAAGTTTAAACCGCTAGGATGCAACAGCTTTGCAATATTGAAGCATCACGTCTCCACTGAATTCAAGGAATGTTGTAGATCCAAATCGGCTTATGTGCTATGATCCAGACCAGAAGGTCCAGACCAATAATATTGTTTTATTTTAGTAGTCCTATCTTTGTGCAAAATTGTAATCTTTTGCTCCTGGAAGGCTAGCATAACTGGTGTGTTCCGCTTAGCCTAATGCTGGTAACTGACAATGGCGGACACATTTCTTGTTTCTGGTAACAGTTTTCATTCTTTGCGGTTTCCTGCAGTTTCGAGGGTGGAAATGAAAATTTATGAGAGATCGTTGCAAGCTCTCCCTTTCTTTCCCCGCCCCGCGCACTTGCGTCACCGTTCGCATGCTGCTCTTGCATGACTTCTCACCACTGCCCCAAATGGAGAGCTTGCTCGCAGGCTACTTTTTTGTACAATATTCTTGATATTTTGTGTGATATGATGTTTTATTGTTTTTATTGTCTCTTTTAATAACAGTAACATTTATTATTTGTATTGCGCCTTTTCTATAAAATATTCAAAGCGCATCACAATAGTAATTAATAACTAAATTTTACAAATCTTTCTATCAAAATCTCAAAAAAATATTTACATTAAATGAGTAAAAGATAATTACAAATAAAGATATAGATATACTAAGATAACTGAAATGATTCCTTAAATAAAAATGTCTTAATTAAAGTCTTAAAAGATTCTAAGTTCGTTGCTTCGCACGCGGACCTTGGCAGCTTATTCCATAGGAAAGGAGCAGCTACCTGGAAAGCTCTGTCTCCCAATGTTTTCTTGGTTTTGGCACTTGGTCTTTCCAACAAACGATCATTGTTGTTGTGCCTCAAATGGTAGGACGAAGGCTGTTGAATACTAATTAAATCTGAAAGGCTTAATAACAGGAAGCTAAAATGTTTCTACCTAGAAAGAAATGTTCAGTTAACTGATATTACAAGTGTAATTCTCTTACCCTTTGTTTCTAGGCACTGGTGTCACTGCAATTACAGTTGAACAATCACTGTCGACAGCAAAGAATTTTAAAAGAAAAATGGAAGAATTGTGCAATTGAGCAAGAAAAAGAAAAACAAAAGCAAGAGCAGGCAAGGTTATTACAAGAGCAACAAAATAGAAAAAAGACTGAAAAGGAACTTCCATTAAAAGCGACAGTTAAAAACAGTTTAGATCTGGTTGATGGCAAAAAGGGGACAGAATGTTCAGAATCAAGCAGTTTAGTGATATCAGCGGAAAACTTCTCTGTGTCATCAACTAGCTCTGCATCTGACTGTGCAGCTTCTAAAGATGAGAAATTGACCATACAGGATCTCAAAGGACAAGTCAGTGACCTTCAAATGCAAGTGCTCTCTCTTAGTCAAAACTTGGAGGACTGCAATAGAGAAAACTCACGATTAAAGAAAGCTTTAGAAAATGTGCGTGAATTTGTCCGGTGTAAGTTTGGGTATGAACTTGAGGGTGATTTGTTTGACTTGAAGAGCCCTCGTATCTCTGAATCACAGGACTTCACAAGTTCAGACATACATGTAAAAATGGTTAAATCTGGAAGCCAAACATCATTACATGAGGACATCAAGGTGGAAAATGTACAAGATGAGATGGGCAATGATAGTGATATTGATGAAGACATTCCTTTGCCTCCACTAGAATCTCCACAGTTTATTTTATGAACAGTACAGTGGAAAATTCAGTCACTTATTAGTGAATGGAGTTTAGCATTTGAACTTAATATAAAACATACAGAGTGAAATCCAAAAAAAATCCCTCCATTTATCCCCTCACAGTGATTTGAACAGAAGTTACTGGCTACCCTAATCCCCAGTCTGGGTGACACAAAGCAATAATTCTTTTTGTCAGGTCCTGTTATTTAAGAGTTGGATAGTTCTATCCACCCGAAAAATCACTATTATTTTAGTGGATAAGTATTAGGAGAAACAATAATTTTATTGCATTATCCTGCTGGCTAGAAATTTATCCAGTGGATGAGGCTATCTACCTGTTGAACAACTAGGGCCGTGGTTGGGGGTGGGTAAAAGATAGCAGAATTCCAATTCTTGGGCAAAATCAAAGATTATCATTTTGCATTTCTGTTTTGACTTTTTCCAAGAATATATTTTTCTCAAAGAATTTAATCTAAGTGTTAAATTAGCCCTCTAAAATTTATCATGCGACCCTCCTTCTAGTAGTTGAAGGCAACAGCAGAATAATCAGGTCATAGTCATTGTGTTATTCAGCAACAACTTGTGAACTTGGCCACAAAGTTGCGTAGGGTATTTCGACTGCTTATTTCATAAGGCATTAATAAGGCTGCAAATGATCATGAGAAACTGTGAGATGCAAAATTATCAACTGCCAGTGCATTTTCATGGCATTTAACGTGGTTGCATTGGAAATAAAGACTAAGGGTATTTACATGTGTGAAAAGGTAACATTTATATTTAACTTTGGTCAGTAATATTTGCAGAAGACAGTTTTTGATTAAGTTATGTACAGATAAGTGACTTGTGAACTTGTGTCCACTGACATAAACCACAGAAAAACGGCTTTGTGTAAGTGGGAGATGACCAGTATTTTGTTTTAAAATGAAGATGAACTTTTGACTTAAACATGGACACCCTGTCAGTGCAGAGGCTTTCTACTGTCCCCTAAGAACCCATATTACAGTGGAACCTTGATATAACAAGCATCTATATAACGAGCGTGATAGTAAAATATATGAAAAAGGACTTGATATGACAAAACCTTGTTACAGCCCCTTCCCTTCTTTATATCGAAGTTCCACTGTAACAGGATTCAACTGTGCGATGATTTTCTTTTCACTCTACTGTACTCTCTCGCAGGATATGAGACACATGAAGAACATAAATCTGGTAAAAGCACTATGTTATTTCACAAAAATACTACAAGTGTACTTTATATTACCGCTGTACTGCAAAGACCGCAACAGAGGAACAAACATACAAAACAGAGTATTGCATTATTCCTACTAGACAACAAAAAAGCCATAATTTTGCATAGCTCAAGAATGCTACCCTATGAGCAGTGCTTTCTCCAGGCCGGATACGAAGCGTCCCGGCCTGGAGAAACCACTGCTCGTAGGGTACAAGAATGCAAGCACATGGTGAACTATAGCTTGTTCACAGACATGTGAATGAAGGCCATAACACTATTAAACAATAATTATAGTTGTATGCATTGTACGGATTTTGTTCGTTATTGTAAATTATGTTCAAACGCATGGGTATTCATCATTAAAATCTATGTTCTACCTAGTTACTAAGTTACAAAAATTATTACTTTCCCTAAAATCATTCTGTGTTCTTTAAAGTTGTGTACTGATAATTTAACCTTTGGAATAATAACTTCTTTTCGTGTGGCATCTTTGTACATTAATAGTTATTATAACAAGAATGGCAAAATTTAATGCTGTCATTGATGATAGTAATGTTCCCTCCAATAAGACAATGCCCAAACACTCATTCACATCTTCATTAGAGGAATGCACCTCACCTAGGAAGCACTTTCCTCGTTTTTCTTCCAGATTTTGGCAGATAATGCACATAAAGGAAAGTCTTGACTGTTTATAAAGACAGCAAATAGCATGACATAGCCTAACCATGCATGGACACTACAATTTAGGTGGGAGGCTGTTATAACTTATAGTGGAGAGGAACATGGGAGTCATAAAACATTTTAAAAACACTTTTTTGTAAATAAATAAGCAAAAGAGTGGGGTGCTTTCCTCTTTTTACATGAGCATTGTTACTTCAGTCGAAAGTACAAGAAATTAACTGAACCGAGTCGTGATACTGTACCAATAAGCTCTGTATAAAAACTTACAAACATTAAACATTTATGAACACCATAATTTTGTACATTTGTGATATAAGATTTTGAAAAATAATGATAGATTGCTAAACTCTATGCACTACAGTGTATAAGAATAATTACTGTCATAGTGGTCAATTAAATTAACAAGATAGTAACCAAAATAGAAGGCGACATGGACAAATGTAAAATGTATGTTTTGACCATTTGAGAATTTTAAATATCGAACAATCAACTCCTGTTATTGTAAATACCCTCAGAACCATGGCCTACAGCTGTAGTGTCCTATAATAGCTACAGCCCTGTGCTAAATTAAAAACCTCTGGTTAAGTCTGCAAAACAGAGCTGAAATTCTTGTTCTGGGCCGTCACTTATTTCCCGGGATTTGAGTAAGCCACTTGATGGGCTTGTTAAAAAAAACATTGTTCATTTGCAAATCGGGTTGAAGGAAAATTTGAAATGCACTTCTGATAATCTGTTGAAGCCATTGGTGGCTGACAACATGGATCTTGGCGCTGCTTCACAGATGTTACTCAGAGTTATATTACGTTTGATACCTACATGTAGGCTAATAATAGCAGGAGTGTACATTGAATTTCAGTCAAACGTTATTAATTTTTGTTAATGATCTTCGAAGGGATTCAGCTGTTGTTGGCATTATTGGGGTGTCTGTAATAGCAATGTCAGCATGGTGAGAGGTAAATTTTCATGTATGATAAAACGTTTCATTTTTGCCCCAATTTGCGATCTTCTTACATGCTGTCAACTGTTACAGTTAAGCATGGTTATTATTATAAATACACAAGGTCTTTATCTTTACAATGGACTTGACAAAAGGTCTTCACTGTATTCATACTTAGGGCTATAAGCCAGAGATTTCCTGAAGTAAAGAGGTACAACTTGTTCTCTTTCCTTGCTAGACTTTTTCCTCAGTTCTAGATCATCCACATTGAATGTAAAAACCACCTCATCATCATCATTAACTCCTCTTGCAGTCTTTTGTGTTGCAGTCTTTTGCATTGGTTGGTCATGATTAACGTGACCATTCATATGCCTGAATTGAGGGACTTGCCTCTCACTTTTAACAGACCGACTTGTGTGCGGTTCCTCAGTAATATGTGGTAAATCAATATAGTCATTACTTCCTCTTTTGGGAATACCTTTGCTTGATGTTGGTGGGCGACCTCTACCCTTTGGCAAAGGAGCAGAGAGTGCCCTGTCACCATAAATAGACTCGGGATAAGTTCTCGCTAAGGGAGCTTCATGAAGTCTCGATACGTGCATTTGTGGTAATGGCCTTCTAACGTAGCCATTTGGCTGCCGCAAATGGTCATCCCTTCTCACCACAACCATGTCATCATGTTTGAGTGGTGGACGAGACCTAATTGCTTGGTTGTGATACTCCTTCGCTCTAATAGTTGGATACACAAGATTAAGATACAACTTCTGGTCGACTCTGAGTTGCCGATCACGATCATTTGGTCTGGCTCCCATTCCATAGATCACTGGAGGGTTTATAAGTCCCATATAAACATTCTGCTTAGTCTTCATTTGCTTGTAATTACTGTTTGATAAACCATACAACTCACTCTCCGTAGGCTGTCTAACTTTCCTACTCTTCTTACCTGCTAGTAAGTCTGGATTACTGATCAAATACTCTCTGACATCACGCATTGTGCGACCAGGTGTAGAGAAACTAGAAGAACTCTGTGAAACCAAAGCTCTAGATCCTACACCTCTTGGTGTACCATATGCAGAACGTGAACCACTTCCAGCCCAAGAACCACGTTCCATACTCCCATAATAGCTGCCTTTGTGTCCTGGATAACTGCCAAAATCCCTGTTGCTATAGTAACTATGTCGGTTGACATCTTGTCTTCTTAGCTCCCGTGGTTTTGTGTGTGTTCCATTAAAAGTAAAGGCTCTTGCATCCTGATGAGCTAGTGGGCTTGAGGGTCTGAAGCTTGACACACTGGCTGTATCATCTTCATTTCCATCTCTTCCACCACTGGCTGAATGTCTTGACCTTTGGGAGTGTGGTAGTTCCTCTCTAGTACGGTACTTTCTTGATGAATGTGCTATGCTTGCAGAGATGCCCATATTTCAGTAGTCACCTTTTTCTGGAATAAGACAGAATTAATTGTTAACGTTAATAAAACAAAGCAAATGACCCTAACAAAACATTTGCAAGTTTGAAAGTTTCTGGCTCAGAGCTGTAGTTCATATCTGATGCTTTGCCTTTTTTAAACACCATTAGTTAATTACAGAAATGATTTTTTTTTTCTAGAGTACCACACTTTAAAAGGTTACAAAAATTAACTGTGAATTTCACTGCAGCTAACGGGTACACATGTTATATTCATTCACAGTGTTTCTCTTTTTCTGATTGGCCCAAATCCCAATAGCTTTATCCAACTTACTAGTTGCAACAATGTTGAGACACTCCGAGGAAAAACCGACCTTTCTTCCTTGCTAGTCACAGGCCTGTGAGATAGAATACTCAGTTTCCTCCTCCCCTTGATTGCAACTTTGATAAGATTTGCCTGATTTACTTTACGGATTATAAGCAACATGCTGTACCATTTTTCTTAAAATCAAAAGTCTTTCCCCTATCTTTTATTTACTTCGATTGTCTTTGCAGTATCATGTGGAACGTTGCTAACAATTCTGCACCTGAAAATATCAAGAGAGCCTTAACTAGGATTTCTGAGGTGCACTCATATCCTACCCGATCTTCTCTCAATGATGATTTCTAAACCGAACACTCAAGGCTTGAAAAAATGCGTAGTTCTTTTCTAAGAGTTGGACCAAAAATCTGGAATTCTTTACCCTCAGATATGAGAAACTTACCAAAATCTACCTTTCGGAAAAAGACAAGGAATAAGCTCTTTGAAATTTTATCTAAATCTGATGACTATCTTGAAATCACTGAAATCATGCATCAACTTTAATTTAACTTGCTCAGGAACACAACTAAATTTATATTCTCCGTGTAAATCATATTGCAATCAAATTAGCTTAATACATACTATAGTTTTTATTTTGCGACAGCTGGTACTGTTTGTAAAATAGTTCTTTTTTTCTTTTCTTTCTTTAAATTTGTGTGTCTCTTCCCCCGCCTTGATTAGGCTCTCCTATACACGGGAGGAAGCTATCGTGTAATTGTAAATTGAAAGTGAATGAATAAAGTTGAAGTTGAAGTTGTTGAAAGTTGATAAGGGGAGGAGGGGAATCACAAGCAGGTCAGTTCAGCCAAACTAAGGTACCAGTACAATGTCTCAAATATTTTTGCAACTGGTTGTAGCATTGACCAAATTTGGAAGACGTTAGCGATATCCGAAAATGATGTCAATACTAAAGAATAATAAAGAAGTTAGAGATGCAGGAGTTTCAATAAGCACCGACAGCCGACAGTTACTTTGTTCATAAAGATCTGCTACTTTTTTCTAGAAAGAAGAAGTAACTAGTTTGAATAACGTTGTAAACAAAAAATATATCATAACATCTGAATGAAGAAGTAATTATGATGTGTTTTCATAAAGGCCCACTGGTTTTACGTTATGCTTTAGTCTTGTGAACGCTACATTTCAGTCATTTTTTCACAAGTTTCTTTCTAGGTTTAAGCAGAATTTTTTTACGTGGAAAAGTGCTTAATTTAATTTTCATCATTTGTTCAGTGCCTCTAGGAATTGATTGTGTGACTGATAAAATGAAAGCTACATTCCCTTCAACCAAAAAACATGCTCTTTCGTCCTCAAATTTAGTCCCCAGAATGCTGAAAATCGCATTTTAGGGCTTTGGAATTTCAAAGTTTTCTGGGGCAAAATGCATGAGGCTTTCACTAATGTTAACTCCACTCACTCGTGAAATATTTTTTAACACTCGCAGAGAAATTTTGTGTCTCCGTATGACCATGAAATATCCTCTATATATCCTTAACTTGCCCAAAAACAGGCAAATGACGACAGGATCTTAACATCCATCAAGGTAAGCATGTTTTAGCTTGATTTTAAACTAGGAATTATAAAATAATTATTGGATTGGCCTTTCGTATGATCTGAAGAAATGTGCAAATCTTGGAGGGTGATATATGCCTCAGCCTTGTGGCCTCGGCCAATATTATAAGACCCTCCTCCATCTCCATATTTCTTCAGATCATACTCAGCTTTATCCAGTGATTGCTAAGATTATATACCACAAAAAAAAAAGAAGTAAAAAATATAATTGATCTTTTGCTATCTCTCCGTCTTTATAAAACAAAACCACTCAAGACCACTACAGTGTAATTTGCACTGGTAAAATATCTGTTGGTACCTAGAAATGGAGCGTCAGAGAAGGTCAGGATGTTTGAAGTTTGTCAAATAGAATGTTTACCTTTGCAAGTGGAATGTGAATAAACTATAAATTTAAACTATCGTTGACTGGACAAACTAGAACATCCCAAACTAAAAGATGAAATTATATTTGGGTTTCAAAGAAGAAGAGGGATACATTGTCAACCTGTGAAATGCCAAGTCGTTAATGTATTTCAAAATACAAAAAGATTTCCAGATCAATGCTTTGATGTACATGTCAGCAGCTGAGTCGATATATAAAGAGCCATGATTCGGCGTCGGGAAAGCTTTTGTAATAATTCTCGTGTGCAAATTCAAACTTCAAAAAGGCAGACCACCTCAAGTAAATTACCATCGAAATCAATAATTTCAGCAAGAGATAAAACTTTAAATTCCCCAAATTTCGATCGAACGATACAAGTAGGTGCGTATATAAATGTTTACACAAACTACGCACTAATTTTCCTTCCGATTTTTCGAGTAGTTTGGTTTGTCATTCGTGGAGAGTGAACTAAAAATATTCAAAGTCGGCAATGAACCCATCTTGTAGTTATAACGAAAAAAGAATGTCAACTTTCTACGAAGCAATTAATGCTGTAATGCTAAAGAAAAGAAAGACACAAGGCAAAACATAAAGCTGGTGAAGCACGAGGCAATAACATAATTATTGACAGTTTTGTGCATTCAGTGCAATCACTAGAACTTTAAGGCATCAGAGTGATGAGAAATGTTATCTTTCAAATGGGAAGTCAACGATTAAAAGTTAATTGGCTAGGGGAAATATAATCACTTCTTGATCAAAATGGCGTGCGAAGCTTCAAGATTTGGAAACATACAGAAGTTTCGAATTTCACGTCCGAAAATGACGCAGGGGTATTCGCCGGCCGGTTTTTGTAGGTTTTCAAACAATCGTAGGCATACCGTCGAGTTTAGGCGACTTTTTGAAGAGGAATGTCCGTGAGAAGAAAAACGTGAGGTCTCTAATTTGAATTTATATGGATGCATGGTTACCATCGAAACCTTCAAGAGTACAGTTCATTAAGATAACCCGACCTCATAAGTTTAAAGCTTTCTCTACTCCTAAGAGACAAGTGAAAAAAATATCATCACTTTACCTTACAGGACACTGTTAACGATCCATTTTTTCTCAAGAAGTGCTTAATCTATTTCACTCTAAAGAACAAAATGATAAATCCGCCTTTTGTTGTCCTGACTTTTGGCGTCTTCTTTGCGCGTAATTGCACCAACAATGCACTGCGCTCGCGTATTTCATTACCAGTCTCGCGCCGTTGCGTTCAGCTTCGGCTAATGGCGGAAGCATTCGTTTGGGAAGTGTACTGTGAGGAGCGAAAATCCATCTCAATCGCGCAAACTGACTTGCCATCCTGCAATAACGGAACTGGACCAAGTAAATAAGCAACTTAAGATTATTTAGTGGCCATGTATGACCCCGATGAGGGTAAGAACCGCGTTTCTGATAAAGTTGTTTTTATTGACCGACAAAAACAATTCTGTCAACGCACGCAGTTTCATCGTAACTTCTTGCATTTGTCGTAGATATTGCTTATGGGGAGGATGAGGGAGAGGAAATAACTCGGGATCTGTGGCAGGAGGCCTGCTGGATCGTCATCAGTTCGTATTTTGACGAGAAGGGCCTCGTTCGACAGCAGTTGGATTCTTTTGACGAGTTTATTCAGATGTCTGTGCAAAGAATTGTCGAAGATTCCCCTGAAATTGACCTCCAGGCGGAATCACTTCACATGACTGCAGATACAGAAACTCCAGTAAGTTGCATTTGGCATTCGCACTACCAGTTCCCGCAGTTTTTGCAAATGAGAAACAGATTTGATGATAATTTGTATCATGCATTTGTTGTATTACCACAAATTTGTGGCTGTGTATAAAACTGGGACAGGGGCATGGGGACGGGGACATTGAGACGCGAGTGTGGGGACCTGGGACATGGGGAAGCAAGACGAGGGACTTGGGGACATCAAGTGGGGGACGCGGGGACAGGTGGGACGGGGATGCTGTACGTGAAATACAGGGACATGGGGGACACAAGGACATTAATGATAATTGCAAAAGTCAGAGGTAAATGTTATTAGATTCCATCATCCAGAACCACATTTTCCTTACTCTGTGTGTTGTGAATTACGTGTCATTTGTCTAGTTGCCTTGTAACAATACAGGGAACATACGAGTACTTTGTTAGTCCCTTGGCCCTTTATTTTGTCATGGTCTCACTGTACTGGCAGTAGCCAACTCTCACTTCAGTTCAGAGCTCTTGATTAAGTTTTTAACATTATACTCGTATTTTTTCAATAGCCCCGTTTCTTGCTAAAATTTGAACAAATTTACCTGTCCAAACCAACCCACTGGGAGAAGGATGGTGCCCCAAGTCCTATGATGCCAAATGAAGCAAGGCTCAGGAATTTAACGTAAGTTCTACCAGTATACCTCACATTGTTCCTGCTTAAAACTTCATACCAGCCAAGGTAAAGGTGCTTGCTGACAGCAAATAAATGATATTATTGGATTTGGTTTTTGTGATAATACTTACCAAGACCTTGACTATTACAGATATCACAAAACCAAATGTATAATTAATATTATTTGATTGTACACTGTTTTGAAGAATATTATTGAACTGAAATGCTGCAACATAAAACACTTAGACTTCTGCCATACCTGTAACATCTGTTTTAAAGGGACTGGTTCACGATAATGTGCATGTGTGAATTCTGACAGTAGCTGATTGTTTTTAAACCAATCGGAAGCGAGTTAGATGCACGCAAGTAAATTTACAAAATTCAAATTCATTGTTCGCGACGCGAGAGTATTTCCGCACATTTGGTTTGATTTTTATATCCCCATAATTCAAGTTTATTCTTTGATGTTGCAGCCGATAAGAATAAGATTTACAGCCCTGTCCTGCTTTGAAACAAACATTTACCAACGTGTATTTTTACGAGGTCGTACCCACACTAACAAAGCAGTCACCAATCGGCAAACAAAATTTGTAAACAAACATTTTATTACTGTTCTCTCAGTTCGCCTTATATAAACCCAGATATACCGACAAATAGCGCCTGACCAGTGACAAAAACACACAACGTATGAGTATAAGGATTATCCTTGACTGAGCATAAATTTCAATTGCTTATCAGCAAATGAACAAATTCATTCGCGTTGCATCGGGTCAGTGTTCTGCAAAACAAATGTTATCGAGTATAACGCATGAAGAAACTGGATTATAAACAGAATATTCAGGCAATAATTTATTTTAAGAACATCAATTTTTAATCATATACGATTGTAAAGCAAAGATACAAGGAACATTTCAAGTGTACAAGATCGGTGAAGATCGCTTGGCCTGTTGCGGTATAACTACAGGTCGGAGTCAAAAATCAAATCAAAGTTGAACGAACTTGTGCGTTTAACCACTTTCCAAGTGTGGTGTATTCTTTTCGTAAGCCACACACTACTCCTAGAACCATACCAGATCGACTGGCTAAGCTTCTCTATCTCCAAAGACTCTTGAGAACATCCTGTTGCCGGACGGCCACGATGCTCTTCTGAACCTCCATGATCAAAACATTATTTTTTGTGTCTTCTTAAAACGTAACCAGTCAAACAACAAAACCACTCGTTAATCACCACTACTGAAGTATAACTAGGCCAGCCAAAGTGACAGATGTCGGAATAAAACGAAGGATTTTCAATGATTGTACCAGTAATGGTGATTTTGAATTTAGTGTTGACCCAACAAATTTATTCTGAAGAGACAAACGGCACGCATGCGCATAACCATGATTGCGTCCCTTTAATACTTCCAAAAGAAAAGAAAACTTGAAAGAATTGTGTTGTTGTGTTCCTTAAGGTGGCTCGACTGGATTTTTTTAGGGCGATACCTCCCAAGTTTGAGCCTTAACTACGTCGGCATGAGTAAAGATATCGAAAAAAGGTTACCACAACTGTATTACATAAAGATGAAAATTTCTTATGATCTGGGTTTTATTGCAATCGGAGTCGCCATGGCAACGTAATGACGCCATTACGTTTTTCATTTATCCTTGTGTTTCTCTGTACCAGGAGTTTTTTGAAGAAATCGCTTAAGGGAGTATGTACCTGCCATAATTGCCTCCACTATGGCAAAGTTTAAAGAAATTCTATGAGAGTGTTTTCGAAATATTTTGAAATACACTTTTAAGAATCATAAAAACAGTGAAATAGCATGCTAGCCGCTCAATTCGCTAATATATTAAGAAAATGATAAGCTTTGGGAACGCGGCTTCATCTCATAGTAGATTGATTCCATTGAAAACTGCATACGAAACATATGAAACTTGAAAATGTGCATATGAAACTTGAAAACAATGTCAGTGAATAATGAAGACGCTCACTTGTAAACACAAAATCTGTGGGGAAAATTGGCTATATTTGAGGCCCTATTTAAAAGCCTTCCCTGTTTTCAATGTTCTTGAAACTTGCAGGGAATATTTCTTAACGATTGATCTCGGAATTGTCAAATTTATAAAAAAAATTATCGAGCGGTTTTTGGAAAAATGCGAAATTCTTAGGCATGGACCAAATTACCTCCAAAAACTGTATCAAAAGCAGCTGAATGCAAGTTAATATAATTCTTCTTACTCGCGATCGCCCTCTTTTTTTGTATGCAGTTTTCAATGGAATCAATCTACTATGAGATGAAGCCGCGTTCCCAAAGCTTATCATTTTCTTAATATATTAGCGAATTGAGCGGCTAGCATGCTATTTCACTGTTTTTATGATTCTTAAAAGTGCATTTCAAAATTTTTCGAAAACGCTCTCATAGAATTTCTTTAAACTTTGCCATAATGGAGGCAATTATAGCAGGTACATACTCCCTTAAGCGATGTCTTCAAAAAACTCCTGGTACAGAGAAACACAAGGATAAATGAAAAACGTAATGGCATCATTACGTTGCCATGGCGACTCCGATTGCAATAAAACCCAGATCTTAAGAAATTTTCATCTTTATGTAATACAGTTGTGGTAACCTTTTTTCGATATCTTTACTCTTGCCGACGTAGTTAAGGCTCAAACTTGGGAGGTATCAACCCCAAAAAATCCAGTCGAGCCACCTTAATTTCAGGTGAAATAACCTTATCTAAATACATGTAGCAGTGATCACACTGTAAAGTTGACGTGAATTTTTATCTTTCAAGACCATTCGTAAGCTTCTTGTTCAAATTTTCGTACTAACAGTTTGTAGACTCTAACTTAACCTTATGTTATAAAGTCTACAAGCTGCACTAAAACTAACTTACCTGTGCACTAGATGCAATTATTGGTACAGTACATTTTGTAGACACCATATTATGGTGTCTTCAAAAGCCAGGTACATGCATGAACACATAATGTTTAGTGAACATAATGAGGCACATTCAGTGAACTATAATAATTCTGTTGTTGCAGTATCACTTCAAAAATGTAAATGTATTTCACATGTCTACAATAAATCTTTGTTTTTTGTTTGTTACTTTTTAGCTATTCAGCTCCTCTGTATGTAGACATCACAAAAACAATGATCCGAGAAGATGAAGATCCCCAAGTTACACAGCACAATAAAATGTTCATCGGCAAAATCCCCATCATGCTGCGATCAACCTACTGTCTCCTAAGTGGTCTTACTGATCGTGACTTGACGGAACTGAATGAGTGTCCTCTTGATCCAGGGGGTTACTTTATTATCAATGGATCTGAGAAAGTACTCATTGCTCAGGAAAAAATGGCAACTAACACAGTTTATGTGTTCTCAAAAAAGGACTCAAAGTATTCGTTTACTGCAGAAATCAGGTCATGCCTGGAACATTCTTCGAGGCCGACGAGCACAATGTGGGTTTCCATGTTGTCAAAAGGAAGTCAGGGAGGGCGCAAAAGTGCCATTGGTCAGCGGATTGTTGGTTCATTGCCATACATCAGGCAGGAAATTCCAATCATGATTGTGTTCAGAGCTTTGGGATTTGTGGCTGATCGGGATATTTTGGAGCATATTATTTATGATTTTGATGACCCAGAAATGATGGAAATGGTGAGACATAAAAGTTGTAATAGGTTATTTGCACAACGATGTTATTTTACTACCAAGACCAGAATCCTTCAGGGATTAGCTTTCTGGTCTGGTGCAAATTAGGTTTTTTGTTACTTTTTTTAAACCTCGCTGGGATTACCAAATTTAAATATGACAGGAAAAACAACAAGGATCACAGGGTCATGGTAGTAAAATGATGGCAAATGGCCTATTTATTTTGAGCAAATGCTTTATACAAGTAATGTGTTTATGTACTATGTACATGCTATTAGATAGCACAAAAGACTGCCTTCCTCTCTGGACTGAGCCATAAAATGCCAGGTCAAACGATACCTTGATCTTACATGTATATGATGTGAAAAGCTACCTTTGTATGAGACAGGTTGCAAATCAATAATTTTTTATTTAGCTAGTTGACATGCATGTGGAATATCTAATAACCCTTTGAGTCCCAAGGATGATCAACATTCATTTTTCCCTTAACAATCTCAGTCTGAGAGAAACAGGATATGAGAATTTATAAATGGAAAAGTGAGAGTACTGAGAATTAAGAAAAATGTTTGATATTTAAATAAATCCTCTCAACTAATGTCTTTAAGGAATGTATGGACATCAGTCTGGAGAAGTTGTCTGTAGATATTGTGGCTTAAAGGTTTAATAGAGAGGTTTTGGATTGTGTTGTGCTCACCTCAGTCATTGCCACCTGACCACCATTAACCACCATTAATATCACTAGCAAAGGGTTGGCGGGAAGGGGGGGTGGGGGGGGGGGGCAATGATGGCCCAGTTCAAATTCCTGGGGGTACAGTGTATGTAACACGAGGGGTCATAGTTAGCAGTGTTGTCATGATTCCTGCTGCACTCACTTGTGAGATATACTTCTTACCACTCCAGGCCAGTCAAAATGGTCTACAATAGTAGGCAATATAACCACCTACATGTAAACAGTAAAAAAAGACCAAAAATTGTGTGGTTTTTATTAATTTTATTATTTAGTACTAATAACCCTAAGTGTTGATTAAGCAGCACGTTATTCCACTGAAAGCATGTAATAATGTACTGTGTTTGTACTCTGTAGAAACAATAAAGGGAGAATCTAACTTGGGGTCTTACTCCATGCTCTCCCATTGAAATTAAGTAATAACTTTAACTTCATAAAGAAGTACAATGTACATTGTAATCCTGGATGATAGTTTTAATGTTGTGTCATGTCTGTCAAGGTCAAACCATCACTGGATGAAGCATTTGTTATTCAAGAGCAGAATGTAGCTCTTAATTTTATTGGTGCCCGTGGTGCCAGACCAGGTGTGACAAAAGAGAAGCGTATTAAATATGCCAGGGAAATTCTGCAGAAAGAGATGCTTCCTCATGTTGGTGTCAGTGATTTCTGTGAAACTAAAAAAGCTTACTTCTTAGGGTGAGTAAAATAATACTCTCTGCTGTTACTTTCACATTTACACTTGAATTGAATAACTCTTGTAACTAAATGCTGTGAATGGTGACATGTAAATGAAGGTATGCATTTTTCCATTGTTAAGAAAATTTTCTTTACAGCTGTAATGATTAAGCAATAGCAAACGCTTTCCATGTTTGCATGGCAAGAGAGTGGTTGGGTTCGTTTTAGGTTTTCATAGCTGTCTCGAATTCTCCTAACCCATGGAGTGTTTCTATCAGGCTATGCAGATACAGGAAAAAAGTTTCCTGTTGCTTTTATTCATTAACTTTCCCGAGAAAAACTGCAAAACTCTTTCTTATGGGTCTGATGAAAGGAGAAATTCTTACCAGTTGCAAAGTCCTGTACTCGAAGTCCTGCTTGCATAATCAGTTCTTGTTTTGGAAAAAAAGATGCTTTCAAAAATATGGATTTTTCTCGCTTAAAATGTCACCTTAAGCATAAAAAATTGACACAGCAGGTTTGTAAAGATTTTCCAAGTTTCAGCCGAGGAGGGAATGGGTAAATAAAGTAGACTTTTCGAGTTTCAACTCAAAAACTTTTTCAAATTTCTGCTTGCGTGATTAGCGCATGAAAAGCAAAACATCTTGACGTCACAACCAGATTTACCTACTCTCATGCAAACATGCCGCTTGGCCAATCAGAGCGCGTGCACTATCTTAGTTATTTTATAATGATTATTATAATATAATAATAATTATTATATTATAATAATCACAATGGAAGCAATAATAAATTATATTCCAACAGTTGTGCATAATTATTGTAAAAAAATTGTATAGAGAAATTTAATTTCAAAGCCATTTAATTTACATTGCTTGCCATGCACAGTTCTGAAACCTTTAACATGTTGGGCTCTTTGAAGGGCATTTATAGTCCACAATGCTTGAATTTTATGTGTTGATGGCTTTGGTTTCCATTAGGGACCATTTTATGAGTGTTTGAGATAAAGAATGTTTTTAATTTTTGTACATGTACCTTTACATGGACTCGTGGCATTAACTTATTAAACCAGTTTGTTTTGATGATTTTAAAAGATCTAGTCAGTCCTTGAAAATCTAGTTCCATGTTTTTTAAGGATGATTTTTCACAGTAACTAACAGACTTGTTTTTTATACATGTAGCTACATGGTACACAGATTGTTGCTAGCAGCACTTGGCCGAAGAGAGCTGGATGATCGTGATCACTATGGCAACAAGCGGCTTGATTTGGCAGGGCCATTATTAGCTTTTCTTTTCAGAGGGTAAGTACCAGGTTAAAGCCAGCAAAGTACAGTAATACAAAATTATACATTGTAGCAAAGGGCACATGATATCACCCAATCTTATCAGGGAAATTTTATTAATACTGTTAACAGTATCATGCCAAGTTGTATACCACCATTGCATTCATAATACGTGAAATTCAATTTCAAATACATTTATAACCAGGCAAAAATATTGTCACGGAACATGATATATTTTCAATGGGTGGCTTCAGAAATGTGAGGTTCTCAACAGATTTTATCACAAATGGCTAAACTGTAGGAAGAGGTGACTGATCACTTAAGTGCTGAATACGAGGCCTGGAGGGCCAAGCTTCTAGGGGGATTTAAGAGCATGCTCCCCTGGAAAATTTGGGAATTATCCTAGGAGGTGTGATTTCCTGCTTTTGGACTTATAGTATTACTAGCTGAAACCATTGTACATGTAAATGACTTGTCTAATGAGCATAAGATCTACAGTACTGCTCAAAAGTAAGTTGACAGTCACTCATGTCTTGATCCTTGAGACTCGAGGCTCGATTTGCCATTCTCGAAACTTTCACGAATCGAGTCTAGAGTCTCAAGAATCGATTCCCAAGTGTCTAGAATCGAGAGTCTAGTTGAGACATTTAATTAGCTTGTTGCTTGACTGATCTCTCGAGAAACAAATTCATCAAACAGACCGCTCTCTGTCAGTGCCAATTTTTGCTGTATGTGAATGGCTACTGTTATTTTTCTCAAGAAATAAATTGTTTTCTTGCAACCCTTGCAAGTGATGCATATTCAAAAATCCAGGTTTGTCAAGACTTGATTCTCAGCTACCTTGGGCTCCCACCTTTTAATGCTCACAGGCAGCAGAATTCTGCTAGTAGGGGGCTTGTACTGAGAACCCTAAACTACTATACATTTAATTTTTGTAATGTTATGCATAATTTATCATAGACTTAACATGTAATCTCAGAAATGTCCACTTTCTTATATGCTTTATACAACACAGCAATAATTATTTTATAACAAGACCATTAATTTCCTATTTTAATGATGATTCTGTCAGGCTATTCAGAAATCTTATGAAAGAAGTGAGAATGTATGCCCAGAAGTTTATTGACAGAGGAAAGGTACCTGCCCTTAATTTTAACAATATTATTTAAAGGAAGGTTGTTACATAGAATAAGTAAAATATTATAAGCTTATAATTACGTGTAATAAAGTGGCTAAAGCCGTTAAACAGTGCTCAATACACTTTTTAAGTGTAGAGCTTTGAATAAGAAGATATAACGAAGAGACAAAATTCTCTGTTACTCCGAGTTTCGTGCTCACGCACTCATCAGACAGTATTTAATGGACCATTAAATACTGTCTGATGAGTGCGTGAGCACGAAACTCGGAGTAACAGAGAATTTTGTCTCTTCGTTATATCTTCTTAAGCTTATAATTATACACGTACATGTAAGGCATATCTTTATTCTTCTGCATGGTTTGTCAAAGAAGCGTTTATAGTGCATAGTGAATACTCATGACATAAGTTCTAACACCAGCTTGACATGCTTTGCAGTTTCTTTTTTTAAATAGGCTTCATACATTTTTGGCTGAGAGAGGTCAGCTTGTTGGATTTGTATATCCAGTGGTCCCTGGTTCAAGTACAGTACCTCACTGACTGTTGGCTAAAATTGTTTCTTCATCATCTTCAATGCAAATTCTTTTTAATGCTTATAAAATAGCCAACTTGTTACCTCATTGCAGTTGGGATTGTTAATCACGTTAATGATTAAATATAAAATTTTGCAAATACACTGAGCAACATCGATTTAACAAAAAAGCTTACACTGTAGCTAACTTTCTAGGGTAAACATACTTTATTCGTTGCTACAATTTCTGGTACCTTGGTGTCATTATTCTTACAGGATTTCAACATCGAACTGGCCCTTAAACCAAAGGTGATAACAGATGGGCTGAGATATTCTTTGGCAACAGGAAATTGGGGTGATCAGAAGAAAGCTCACCAGAGTCGTGCTGGAGTATCACAGGTTCTCAACAGACTGACGTTTGCCTCAACTTTATCCCATTTGCGACGTCTGAACTCTCCCATTGGCAGAGAAGGCAAACTTGCTCGACCTCGTCAGCTGCATAACACCCACTGGGGTATGATATGCCCTGCTGAAACCCCGGAAGGTCATGCTGTAGGTTTGGTAAAGAACTTGGCATTGATGGCGTATATTTCAGTTGGTTCACAACCCAGCCCAATCTTGGAGTTTCTGGAAGAGTGGACTATGGAGAATTTGGAAGAAATCACACCATCAGCCATCGCCCAGTGAGTTTTTCTTACACTAAGCCCAGTTGTTCCAAGACCAATTATTGGTGCCAACCTCACCTGGGTTAAATTTTAACCTGGATATCTTTTTTTGTTGATTAAAAGCACTTTCTGGAAAATTTTCTGTATTCTTGTTAGAGTATCCAACCATCAAACTGTAGTTGGAAAGAATTAGACTAAATTTGCTTTTTAAGCTTTTATATCTGAATTCAAATTTCCCATTAACCCTGGGTTATGTTAACCCAGCTTTGAAAAACCTGGCCCTAATGTGTAACAAATTAATCTTGAACATTTGGCTACTGCACTTTGTCACTTTTCTCAATTTCAGGGTATATTTTGGTATTTTTCTAATTGGCCATGTATATGTTTGTTTACTCTACTAGAAACTGTCATTTGTTTAAGTTATCAAAAATGCTAAGTAATTGTAGCAGCTGGTTTGAATTGTGTTTAATTATTTAAGTTTGATATTCTCTTTATCTTGATAGTGCAACCAAGATATTTGTGAATGGTTGTTGGGTAGGAATCCACCGAGATCCAGACCAGCTGATGAGTACACTAAGGAAACTCAGGAGACAAATGGACATCATTGTGTCTGAGGTACAGTGCTCCTTGTACAATAAAAAGTTAAATTAAGCTTTCGGGGCTGGAAAAAAATAACTTGAATTCAAGCTTGTCATTAATTTGGTCAAGCAACTCTCACATTTTCTTGCCTGACTTAGCAGCGTGCAAAGAAACTACTGTCCGATAGCCCGGGGCTAGTGGATTTTGCTGTTGGGCTAGTGAATTCTGTTTTTAACTTGCCTGATGGGCAAGTGATGTTTTATGAGGAATTTGAATAACAGAAGAACAAAAAGTTTTTGGGGCTGGTTGAAATGACGTCTGGGCTAGTAAATGCTAGCTTCAGCTTGCCCGAATGGCAAGCTGGAAAAATGATTTTCTTTGCACCCTGCTTAGGTAACGATTTTGTCAGAGGATGATTTGGCTGGACTCCTGCCTATTTGCCTTTTTGGCAAGTAAACTTTAAAAATAAAGTGTCCTGCCCTAGTTTATCCAATGGGATACTGCTGTATTTGTAACAATTTTCCAGCTTCTTAATTCCATGGCCTGAGACAGTGGGGGTATTACATGTAGTTTTTTTAGGCCTGAGATGATTCATATCTAGGGTGTGATTTGGGTTCCACACATCAGGTCACCCATAGATCTCTGATACAGTATGCCTTCCAGTCATCTGAAAGGTTTGAGTTTCATTTGGGACCCTTTTTTCATGACTAATATATTTATGCACAAACATCACCATGTTTGTGTATCATTATTAAAAGGTATTTTAACAGTTGTTGTGTCAAATCTTAATCATGTGGATTTGAAAACTACTTTACTAGATTCTCAAGTTTATTTCTGCCTTGAATTTTCTCAGGTTTCGATGGTGAGAGACTTCAGAGAAAAGGAGATCAGGATCTACACTGATGCTGGTCGAATTTGCCGTCCTTTGTTGATTGTCGAGAACCAGAAATTGTTGTTAAAGAAGCATCACATTGATCAGTTGAAGGAAAGAGAGTATAACAACTACAGGTGGGTGACTATCCTGTACAGTTTTCGGATGATAATATGAGGCTTTGGGATTTCTGCAGTTATCAAGGTCAAGGTACATGTAAGTGTTATGAAATTAATTTTGGCCTTGACTGACCTTGGCTATTCTTGGTTATTTGGTGCTTCTAAAGCAAAGACCCAAAAAATGAAGACGTAAGACCCATAAACTAAAATGAAGACCAAGTTGACTAAGACAAAGACCCATGGACTAACACGAAGACCCATGGACTAAAACCGGTCCAGACAATCTGCAAGCCAGCAAGCCATGCGAGCCATGGGAAAAATTAGAGGTTTATGAAATTGTAAAAATGTTCCCTGGCTAGTTCCCTACTGGTATGTGAGAAATTGCTCTGGAATACGTGATAAGGGTTAAGCGCTTTATGGATTAGGGTTAAATGCTGTTTAGGGTTAAACAGTTTTTTACAGATGAGGGATAAGTGCTTTTTAGGGTTAAACACTTATTTAGAATGGTTAGGTTTTGTTTATTTTTTTTGTCGCATTACTGCTTTTTCTTTTGCATGACGCGCTGGCTCGCACTGTGTCCTAACTCGACTAAAACGAAGACCTAGTGGACTAAAATGAAGACCCATGGACTAAAACAAAAACCTACTGGACTAAAACCATCAAACATCAGACATCTGACATTGAACATCAGACAACTGACATCGGGAGTCAGACATCGGACATTGGACATCAGACATCAGACCTCAGACGTCTGCAATCCGACATCAGACATCGCATGTCTGAAGTCAGACATCTGATGTCCAATGTCTGATGTTCTATTTCTTATGTCCAATGTCAGACGTCTGATGTCCAATGTCTGACGTATGATGTCCCACTTCTGATCTCTGATCTCAGACGTCTGATGTCTTATGTTGTATGTCTAACGTCTGATGCTTGATGTCAAACGTGTGATGTCTGATGTCCACTCTGATGTTCGATTTCTGAGGTGTGACGTCAGATATCCAATGTCGGATGTCCAATGTCAGACACCTGATGCCCCATGTCGTCTGACGTTTGATATCCCTATTGACTTCCTTTCCACCTAAGTGACCTACTCTTTCATTTATTGTAAATAATACCTTGTTCAAAGCAATGAAAAGGTATATTAATGAGAAGTAATAACACTTATTCTTTGCCAGCTGGCAGGACTTGGTCGCTGGTGGAATTGTAGAATATATTGATGTGAATGAAGAAGAGACTGTGATGGTATCCATGACTCCTGATGAGCTGGTGATGAAGGGGCAAGGATACTGTTCAACATACACTCACTGTGAAATCCATCCTGCAATGATCTTAGGAGTCTGTGCATCCATTATTCCATTCCCTGATCACAACCAGGTCTGTTCAGTTATCCAATGAATTTTACATAGCTTTCTTGCAAAATTCTCATGGTGTGAAAGTACTACCCCCCCCCCCCCTTCCAAAGTTGCTCACAGGCTGAAATTTTACAGGGTAATGATCTTAACCCTTTTCACTTCCAAAATTGTCCAAAGTTATCACTTCTAAAATCACTTTTTGAAAAATAGTGAAAAAAATGGTACCAAGCGAAAGTACTGCCAATTAGGTTTCATTTGAATGGCAATACCGCACGATTTTTGTCTACGGACTCAAACGTTAGGATCACCTTATGAGAATCTATCTTATTATATAAACGCCAATGAAATACCAGGTGAGCTTTCGCGCGAAAACTTGATATCTTCACATGTGAAAATAACATGTTATCTTCACATGTGAAAATATCACCTTTGCTATGGCTACATAGTAAATCGCGCCTTTCCCACCCAAAAACTATGAAAGTGAAATGGTTTGGTATTTCATTGGTGTTTATATTATAAATAGAATATTTCACTCGTTCGCTGTGCTCACTCGTGAAATATTTTTCAACACTCGAAGAGAAATTTCGTATCTCCGCGCGGCCATGTAATATCGTCCATATTCACTAAGGAAGTAAACTAGTTAGTTTTGGGCGAAGCTGGCATATCGACTTCAGATATTGACTTAAAGCGAAGGCACATATTAGTCCGGGCAAATTAATTAGTTAGCGATCGAAGCATCTTTGCTAATTAGTCAATCCATCTCATACACACTTTTTTATTTAAAAAGTGAGCAAGTAAAGTGTCTTTTTGAATTGGGTTGATTTCATTTGACTTCGGGTTTATCTATCAGCAGTATTTTTAGTGAAGGATTTTGTGTTCTCGTTTTTATTTTACAGTCCCCACGTAACACTTATCAGTCTGCTATGGGAAAGCAAGCCATGGGTGTTTACATTACAAACTTTCATGTTCGTATGGATACCCTCGCGCATGTGTTGTACTACCCTCAGAAGCCGCTGGTCACTACACGCTCCATGGAGTATCTCAGGTTCAGAGAGCTGCCTGCTGGTGAGTTCTTGTCGTTTGGAGCGTGAATATTCGTATCCTGCGCCGCAGACGAAACTAAACTTCTGGTTCACCAGGGTTAGGTCATGTCTGCAACACAGGCTAAAAGATTCATCATTCTGGTGTGGGGATTGGTCCTCAAAAAAATGTCTGGTGAAGTCTTGAAAGGAGAACACAGTTGAGCCCCATATAACTGCCGCCTGTACTTAATGTTGCACAAACATTTACTTTTATTGAAACTTCCGTGTGATGGTCACAACAACGACATAGCGGCAACAGTGAGCATTCCACTGTCCCAAATTAGAAATGCAATAAATACCTCGGACACCTTTTACTTGGGCTATTTTTACGCTATACGGATAGTTTTTGCGCCGGCACGAAAGCCGTACCCGATAGGGCTTCTGTTCACACATAAGAACGGTGATCGCGGCGCGATTTCTGTAACGGAGCGAAGGTGCGCTGCGGCGATCTCTAACGTGGAGTCTTATATCAGATAGGCGGTCATACTATAAAGTGTTTTCACATGACGTCACGGCGGCCATATTGGTGTCCCTAACCAATCCTGTGGGAGTTGAACTCTTTTCTTATGCAAACGCTTTCTTTCTTTCCAATAAATTTGCATAGATGCTGGTCACGTGAGTGAAAAGGCTCTATGCCGGATGGTTGGCATTAGGTAACATCGGCTAAGTCAGTCAGATATTTTCTTTCAGTAAAGTTACATGAAGAACAAGTCCAAATTTACTGTGTAATATAAAAGTGAAATAGAAAAACTCCACCGTGATGCTTTATAGCCTACATCCATATCCCCTACACCATCGAGGACTATCTGCTAAATCCAGTTATTTTTAAAATATACATGTTCTTATATATGCCGTACCCCATTACAATATTTGAAAGCTAACCGTTTTCAGTTCAATGCTTAACCCTAATCACTGCAGATCAGTGCTTAACTCTCTACTGTGTTCTCTCCATAACTTGCGCTCTCTAGTTTTGGTTTCTTCAGCTATTCTAGCCTCATTCTACATTCCAGTCTCGTTCCATTATGAAAGTAATGCGTTGTGTAAAATTCATAAGGTGTCCAATCTGGCTTCACTCGATGTTATCTAACGCTAAGCATGCCGGATACGAATAGCTTTTTGTGTCGTTACGAAAAGCTTTCCAGTATAGTGTGAACTTACTCTTAATGAAATGAACCTAACATAAGAAATGTTTGGGCAAAGCTTAACAGCATTGGCAGTCAAGCAAATTGCCACCCATTTCCACATGTACAGCTGAGATGGAACAGTCACCTCGCCACTAGACCAGACCATCTCGCTACCAACCAAATCACCACCAGTAAGTCTACTCGCCTCGAACTAATACACAGACTTGTCAAGGATTGTAGCTGATAGCATTCCCATTAAAAATTCAGGCTTGTACGGGATTCGAACCCTTGACCTCTGCGATACCGGTGCAGCGCTCTACCAATTAAGCTAACAAGCCAGCTGGGAGCAGTCGTTGTAAACCTGTGAAAGGATGATGAGGTCAAGGGTTCGAATCCCGCACAAGCCTGAATTTTTTTCAGGCTTTCTTTTCGCAGCTGCAAAAGTTGCGTATATAACTATGATGATTATCCTTCATTTAATTCTTCACTCCGTAGTTTTTATATATGATTTTTATATATTCATAACTTCATCATCATCCTTTCACGGGTTTATAACGAACCAATTCAACGAGCTGCTCCCAGTTGGCTTGTTGGCTTAATTGGCAGAGAGCTGCACCGGTATTGCCGAGGTGAAGGGTTCGAATCCCGTACAAGCCTGGATTTTTTTTCAGGTTTTCTTTTCGCAACTGCAAAAGTTGTGTATATAACTGCGATGATCATCCTTCATTTAACATTTTTACTTCTTTCTCAATCTTAATCAAATATGGCGTCGACCGAAATACAAATCTGTTGATCTCAACTTCTCAGGTAAGGTGGAAAGCATCAAATAAGTGCGGGAACCAATATACACCGAACGGTGGCCATTTTGTATGCTGTATGCAGTGACCGTTTTTGAGAGTCTGTTATCATCTTACCTGTCCCTAAGCATAGCACTTCTTTTTGTTTACTTTGTAGGGATCAATGCCATAGCAGCTATTGCATCTTACACTGGTTATAATCAAGAGGACTCGGTTATCATGAATGCTTCAGCTATTGACAGAGGTTTATACAGGTAAGTAAACCAGATTCCCGTTCTAAATTTACTCGTATTTTCTAATTGAATAATAAAATAATTTGTCTGACGATCTAAAGTCTCTTTGGGTCTTTGAGATTAAGCCCTTCAATTTGTTTTCCTTTTATAGGGATGAATCTCTGACGTCTCCAAAGAAGCCTAACAACTTTTTTTGTATTAATCTGACATTTTTGTTTACTTTATCAGGTCTGTATTTTACCGCTCATACCGAGATCAAGAATCTAAGAGAGGAATGGATCAAGAAGAAACTTTTGAAAAGCCAACAAGAGATACATGTCAAGGTAAGGTGCTGAAATTCATCATTAATTTTTCAAGATCGGTGGGCTTCGATCTCTTTTAGTAAAAGAAAAAAGGAGAAAATGAATTGTGAAGGAGCAGGAGGAAGAGTGGGGTGAGAAAAAAAATTGTGTTGCCTTCCTCAAAGTAATAAGATTCCTCCTCAAATAAAGGCCGAAACGTTACGCCCTATACTATTTCATTCCTTCAGTTGTTGCCTCTGTCTGAAGGGGCAGCATAAACTGGGGTCTCCTTAATGTTTTTTTTTTCATTGTTTTCACTTCTTTTTATTTTTCCTGTCATACCATTTGGAGGGGTCACAAGTTTGCCCGCTAACTCGCTCGCGCGTTCAATCGCGGCGCGTTTTGCTTGCCAGAAAAGGAGAGCTTGCTCACAATCTAAGGAAGTGGCAAATAACTGGGCTATGGTTTTTCTCATAGCAGTGATCTTACAAATATGCCGCACAGTTCTTCTTGAACTTACCAAGAGCATACAGATGACACACTTTAGGGCATCGCATGACACTCAACAGTTTCAAAAACTCTCACTTTCAAAACGAGGCAAAGTGCAAAAACTTTGTTGCGAAAATGAGTTTAATTTGTATGAGAAAAAAAAATCATTTTCATGTTAATGGCTTTGTACTTAGTCTCGCTCTGAATCAGAGGCTTGAGGCAACTCGGAAATGGCCTATTGAACATTTTACGGCAACAGGAAAAAGCCACGTTGTAGATTAAATCCGGTGTCTCATCCCTGAAATCTAAATTGTGAGGGCATTTTTCCAGGCATGCGTAATGCTGTGTACGATAAGTTGGACGATGATGGACTTATTGCACCAGGAACTCGAGTGAGTGGTGATGACGTCATTGTTGGCAAGACAACAACTCTTCCCGAAAATGATGACGAGGTAAGTTGTAAATAAAGCACGGGGAGAAATAAATCAGACTCAAGTAAGAGGATTTCCAGGCATTAGAAAAGGGTAGAAAAGAGGGTTACAACCAAGTTGATTTAATTTAGACTGACTTCGAGGTGTTGAGTTATTCCCATCTTCAGAAACTCCAGGGAGACTGGGTAAAAAACTTTAAGAGCAGTGATTTCTGGGATCGTTTGGGTGGACAAGCGGTAGTTATGATTAGTCGATGGTATTCAAGGTAACCGTTAACCAATCACAAGCAACGCTTGCCACCCAAACGATCCCAGAAGTCGTTGTGCCGAAAGCTTGTACATATTCCCTTTATAGTTTCTATATAGTCCTATTGGACTGCAACCCTGTTTTAATCGTTTGATATGGCTTCTCAAAAGATCAGTAGTTCTTTTGACAATTCAGTCCAAAATTTTGTGGTATGATGTATTCGGTGTCTGGTCTTATTTCATTTCAGTGTTTTCGGTTGTTTTGTCTTCAGGAATTATTTATGAGTTTTTCAACGGTTAATTGAAGGTCTAATCAGTTGAGGAAGCATGAATGCTTAGATTTCCGTTGGGTTGTTAGTTTCTGTTACCAGATATAAAGACTAACCGGCCACATATTAATCAGGAAAGGCATGGCACGCTTGTGCAGTCGGCATCCTGTGTGCATGCACAGCTTCTGTGGAAAGAATATTGCTTCTTTTTGCTAATAGAACATGATATAAGATATAACCTTTAGCTATCAAAATGACAGACTTTAAACGCCATCATGGTGTAATATTTCAGCTTGAAGGAACAACGAGACGTTTTACCAAGAAGGATTCCAGTACTTTCCTGCGTCCCAGTGAAACGGGCATTGTTGATCAGGTGCATAACCTCTCCTTTACAATCGTCTTTAGCTTGTCTTGTTATTCTTGGTCTGCGAGATGCTTTGATTGTCTGTTAATTCGAATGTAATAGCCTTCCATTTTTTTTTCATTTTTCCATTTTATACACAGGTTGTAATACAATTGCATCCTTTTTTCAGGTTATATATTCATTCATTTTTTACTCATTAAAGCGTTTTAGAAGATGTTACGAAGGCAACGGCAACAGCAACGACAAAGTTAAAAGCCATAGTTTTATTGAACAAAACAACTCAGTGCACCTGCATCATACTTCAGCTTCCCTGTTTATTCGGGGAAATGTAGTTATAATACCCCTCATGGCAAACTTTGGTGATCTTGTTTTTTCTTTATTTTATCGTTTTTGTTGTTGTTGTTTTATTGACTTGATAATGGTTAATGGCAGCTGGGGATGTGAAACTTGTGTGGTAAACGTTTACTAATACTGACTCTCTTTTTCTTCTCTACAAGGTTATGGTAACAATTAATCAAGAGGGTTACAAGTTCACCAAAATTAAGGTAATTATCTCTGACGTTCCGATCTGCAGAATATACATTGTGAATATCGATCTACCGACTGAGCTGATATCGTTTGCACATATCAGTACATGACTACTCCGCCTTTTATTTCAGTGGGGCCTTGCCTCTCCAGTCTTGCTCATAGGGCTACTGTATTCCACTACGTCATAATTCATCAAAACCGTTTCAGAAGAGCGGAACCTGGGACCATAATGAAAGGAACTCCGGGAATGAAACGCGTGATAATTATATAGTGGCGCGTCAAGATTAAAATTCCCATTTGTTTCTATTTCTTGTTTTTATGCCCATGTGCTAAAGGCCCCATTCTCTGCCTAGGTTCGATCCGTTCGTGTTCCCCAAATTGGTGACAAGTTTGCCAGTCGACACGGTCAGAAAGGTACATGTGGAATAACATATCGCCAAGAGGTAAGCTCATTAGAAACTTGTATTATTGACTAGATCTTGAGTCCCGCCTTACCTACAAGGTGCAAATTTTATTTGGTGTAACCTTTTTTTGTTTTGCAGGACATGCCGTTTACTTGTGAAGGAATCACCCCTGATGTGATCATCAACCCCCACGCTATCCCTAGTCGTATGACAATTGGTCACTTGATCGAGTGCCTGCAAGGAAAGGTAACACGTCAAAGAGTATCTCTGTAGCCTGCTATAGTCAGCCGCCTCTCATCGCTACCCATCGCTGAGGGTCGCGAAACGTACCTAGCAACGTGGTGCGATGAAAGGCGATTGTATTCATTACTACTCGATGGTGGTTCGTCTTATAACATCAAGTACATGTAATGCGATTTTCACCTCCCCAAGTAGAACTTATTTCTTGTTTAATGTAGAAATAGTATTAACTCTCAGTCACTGTTTTATGCTTGTAATGGCTGCTGCTTTCTAAATAAAGTGACAGTTGTTAATCAGTAAGCATTAAAAGTCGTAACTCACTCATAGGCTAGTCTGACTCTCCCATCCGTGCTATTTATCGAGACACCCAAGATGGGACATCTCGTGTTGTATGAGGTCAAAAGACAATCAAACAGTTCAAAGGGCTTTCCGACGATGTTAATCTGACCCGAGTCTTTGACAGAGATTCCGCCTTATTCCCTTGGTTATCTGTATTTCCTTTGAATATTATCCTTTCGGAGAGGGTCGGTTTGATTGTTTGAAAGTATACGTGACACTTCGAAAAATCTCCTTTTGAAGCATTTGTAATAATTACACTGATTATCGGTAGGTGTCCGCAAACAAGGGAGAAATTGGTGACGCTACGCCTTTTAATGACGCTGTGAACGTTCAGAAGATATCTCAACTGCTCAACGACTATGGTTACCATCTGAGAGGTAACGAGGTATGTGATGTGTCGTCACGAAACGGGTCAACTGGTATTATTTTGAATTATATTTGTGTAATTGTCTTGTTTATTTTATAGAGCTTGTGTATTTGTTTCTTGCAGGTGTTGTATAATGGTTTTACGGGTAGAAAGCTGAACGCCCAAGTTTTCTTGGGTCCAACTTACTATCAGCGTTTGAAGCACATGGTGGACGACAAAATCCATTCACGTGCCAGAGGTCCAGTCCAGATCCTTACGAGACAGCCTATGGAGGGAAGGTCACGGTAAGCAGAAAACTGTGTTCACACTTGAACTGTGACTCGATTAAGATATGTTCCCTTAAAAATTTCATGATCTAAATGTGATAATTTGATTTGGGGCGGGGGGTAGAAGGTTACAATGTGACTCTTTTTACCGGCGCCACCTAGACAAAGTTGACCACATTTTAGACTTGAGGTCGCATGTTTATTGCAAAGTGCGGCGATGGTAGCGAAGAAATTGCTGGTAAATGATACAATCATGATAACAGCTTGTTCAAACAAATATGTCTCCAGAGCTGAGTTGCTCAAAACATGGTTAGCTTTAAGCATTGGTCACCGTTAAGCAGTATCAAAACCAATACGTTGTCAAGGTATTAAACGCTGGTTAACGCTAGCTATGCTTCGAGCAACTGGGCCCTGGGCGTTAGTTTCGAACAGAAAAACATTTTTTTTTTCAAATATACAAACACAGTTTGGAGAAACAATTTGCTTTCTTGAAAAACTTTTGGTGTCAATATTTGAATTTTGTGCTTTGGGCAACTTATTGTTTTTTACGAGCTGCTGATTGGCCCACAAACAACTTTCTTGGAATTTATTGTTATTTTCCTGTAATCTGATTGGTCAGCTTTGTCTAGGTGGCCCCGGTTACAGTAGTCGCATTGTAAGTATACATGTATACAGTTCTAAGTGGAGCTGGGACCGATGTTTTATGGCGCGTTTTTAAGACCGTGAAGAGCGCTTAAAAGTAGTGTATAGCGGGGGGATTTCTAACAAACTCTGAGGAGATTGTGTGTTGTAAAAGCCTTGTAGGTTGGATGTCTCAAAATAATGTGAAGTAGAAATTTATTAAAGATGCCAAACCCAGAGTTTTTTCATCAGATATTCTAAAGCTTTTACATTCTTTCCTTTAAATAGAACCTTTTATCTGAAAAGATACGCCATCTCCGTGCAAAAGTCCGGGTAAATTATTAGAACCCGTAGCCGTAAATACTGGTTGTTTGCCTCTTACCCCGGACAAACGGCAACGGAACTGTGATGCTATTATCACATCTGGGAAACCATGGTTTATAATTAGGGTAAAGTGCATCGCAGGCGTTAACGATCGAGTTATTGCGCGCAAGCTGTATCGAGAAAAAAGTAAATGGAAGTAAGTGGATGGGGAGGACTGAAGTGGGAAAAGTTTCCCTTCTCTCCTTCCCCCTTCCTCTTAATTTCCCTTTTTTGTTCTCGACTAACCCGCGCGGAAAGGCTTGCGACGCAGGCTATAAACCACGTGGTAAACATGTTAGCCTCCCCCCGTCTCGGTAGAGAGAAACGGTGTATCTTAAGTTTCTTATCACTGAGTAAGGAATTTAAGTATTAGCAACTTATGTGGACATGTGTCGATCTTTAGTGATGGTGGGCTTCGTTTTGGTGAGATGGAGCGTGACTGTATGATCGCACATGGTGCAGCACAGTTCCTGAATGAGCGTCTGTTTGAAGTATCTGATCCCTACAGCTGTCACGTGTGTAACCTGTGTGGCCTTATCGCTATCGCCAACTTACGGAATAACACGTTTGAATGCAGGGGCTGCAAGAACAAGACTCAGGTATAAAAAGAAACACTTATAGAGTGTTTTCGCATGACGTCACGGCGGCCAAATTGGTGTCCCAAACCAATCCACTGGGAGTTGTACTCTTTTCTTATGCAAACGCGTTCTTTTGTTCCAATAAATTTGCGTAGATGCTGGTCACGTGAGTGAAAACACTCTATACACACAAACAATTAGTTCAGGAACGAAAATTGCTGCCTTCTTAAAAAGCTGAAACTTGTCTTCGCGTTGATTTAGTTCCAATTAATAGTGGTCCAGATTATATTTTGGCATTGAAACTGCTTCCTGTCGTCTGTTGCTATGGACGGCTAGGATGGACATCGATTGAAACTTACATAAGTTGGGCCTATGTTTTCAGGCTCCGAAGCTTTGAAGCTTTGCCTGTAAAAATTGCTCCCTGGTGGAATGTGTTTGCTATCTTTTTCACAACTGTACAGGAGAAGGAGAAATGTGTGTATTGTTTAAAGCACTAAGTAATGATTTAAGCCCCTAATTGACCTAAACCAGCAATAGCTCCCTTGACAAAGCCTTGTGAAGGTGCACTGAGTACAGTGTAATAACAGTCAAACCCCGTTAATATGGACACTGAGGGGGTCACAGAAAGTGTGTGTATCAACGGGCTGCCCGTACTAATGGGGTTGAATTTAGAGAAAATGTAAAGGTTTTCTTTCGCCAGGGACAAAGAAAACTGTCCGTAATAATGTGGTGTCTGTGTTAAGCGGGCTTTGACTGTACTGACAACGCTGAATTACGGTCAGTCTTGTTGTTTGCAAAGATACGACTCAGAAATCATACAATTCCTACCTCTGTAATCCAGTCCCCTTCGGGGGACCACTTGTCTCTCTCCCGTTGGTGCCCGTATTAAGGAGCTACAGACTACAGTCAAACCTATCTACAAAGTTAGTCATAAAGGGCAAAACTTTTTGGTATGGTCAGGATCGAGAATACGTTTTTGTTGTTGTTGCTTTTTTGTCTCCTGGAGCTGCGAAAAAAATCAAATGGACTCTATTATGCGGCACCTTCTGTTAAGCATTTTTGTTCTAGTGCAGGGACCAAGGACTCAATTGATTCCAATAATGACTAATGACGAGCTGTGTTGGTTGTTTTAAACAGGTATCCCGTATACGCATGCCATACGCTGCCAAGCTTCTTTTCCAAGAACTTATGTCAATGAGTATTGCCCCTCGGATGATGGTGAACGAGCAAGTCAAATGAACGATAAACATCCTGTACTTTCCACTACATTAGTATCTATCCCTTAGAGAGGCCGATCAAGCTGAGCTGTACAAAAGACACACTGGGTATGATTTTTTTTTTCGAACTGTACTCAGCACATTTTCCCTTTGTGGAGTACGCTGGTGGACGAGACGTAAACTTTGCTTTACAGCAAATTCAGGTTTTGGAAGTAATCACTTTAGTTGAACCGTACGCGGGGAGAAACAGTCCGTTTAATGTAACGATAAATTTCAGAACCTTTGTATAAAGTATCTTGTGTAACTAATAAAGACCAGTTGTCCCGGTTGTCAGGGTTGTCCTGGTTGTTCCGGTCGTTCCTTTGGTCCTATTCATCCCAGTCATCGCGGTCTTCCCAGTTGTCCCTAATGTCTCGGTCGTCCCTGTTGGCCTCGTTGTCCTTGTTTTCCCGGTAGTCATTGTTGCCCTTGTTGTCTTACTTGTCCTTGTTGTTCTTGTTACCCCTGTTGTCCTTGTTGCCCCTGTTGTCTTTGTTGTCCCAGTGGACCCTGTTGTCCTTGTTGCCCCTGATGTCCTTGTTTTCCTAGTTGCCCCTGTTGTCCTTGATACCCCTGTTGTCACTGATACCTTTGATGTCCTTGTTTTCCCAGTTGCCCCTGTGGTCCTTGATACCCCTGTTGTCACTGTTACCTTTGATGTCCTTGTCTTCCCAGTTGCCCCTGTTGTCCTTGATACCCCTGTTGTCAATGTTACCTTTGATGTCCTTGTTTTCCCAGTTGCCCCTGTTGTCCTTGATACCCCTGTTGTCACTGTTACCTTTGATGTCCTTGTTATCTCAGTTGCCCCTGTTGTCCTTGGTGTCTCAGTTGTCCTTGTTGTCCCAGTTGCCCGTGTTGTCCCTGTGTTCCTTGTTGTCTTTGTTGGCCCTGTTGTCCATTTTGCCCCCATTGTCCCTGTTGCCCTTGTTATTCCTGTTGCCTCCGTTGTCCCAGTTGTCCTTGTTGTCTTTGTTGTCCCTGCTGACCCTGTTGTCCTTTTCGTCCCTGTTGACCGTGTTGTCCCAGTTGTCGGGGGGAAGGGCTTTGTTTACGCAAATCTGGATATTTTTGCAACCGCATATATTTCTTTACACGTGTCGGCTCCCTCTTCACGAATCCGCGTAAAAAGAGACCGTTTCAAAAAGTTTCGGATTCGTGAATGTTATTGAAAGAGGAGTGTGGAAGGGGGAACGGAGAAATCGTGATTTGATACTTTCCAAACCAAATATAGAGAAATGACCAGAAAGCCTCGTAGTCATGTTATAATCTTAATATATCGAACGTTGGCTATCCCTGTTTTGTTCAGTCCCATTGTTCATGATGACCTGCACCGTTCCAAAGCTGCCCTCTGATTGGCTATTTAGCAAGAACAATAGAACACTTATCGGGAAATGATGTGAGTCATAAATGCGTCTTTTACTATTTCACATTATTTATGTACCGAGTTTACAGGTTGCTGGGAGAATCTTCGACAAGATTTCCGAGTTGTAGACAGTAAGAAAGACTTTTCCTTATTGTAAGGGCCAACAAAGAAAAGGCAATCCTGTTTCATAGGTCCCAATGGAACACTATTTGTTTTTGCTAACATGAAGTGCTCACCAAAAGCGCAACTTCTATAACGGTTTCAAACCCTTTCCAAAGTATTACTATCACATTGACTGGCTGCTTTATCAGACTTCTACAGTTTTGCTATGAGTAAATTTGGCTTTCCGATTGTTTCTCGGTTTTGCGGCCACAACTACTGAGTGGCACAAACTTTTGAAAAAGCATTAGCGTGAGTTCGACTGAAAATTTTATCGTGGTGCCCATTGCATTCGAATGATAAGTAAATTCAATATTCCAAAACTGAAAAACAATGCGGTTCTTGGAGAGCTTTTACTTAAACATCATAGCTTTCCTTGAGCAACAACTCTCCAAGTTCTTCTTTTTCCTTGGCCGGTTCATGAAGAACTTGTTCCTTCTCTGTCATTTCTGTGGCACTAGCGCTGCTGTTGACGGAATCAATGTTCTCTAGCGTTGCGGCATCTCTGGTCTCTGGTAACAAAAAGCACAGAGCGGCACACACGAAAGCAAGAACTGCCGTAATGGAGTATGGTAAGAGAACATGAACACGAACCTGGAAAGATATATCAGAACATAAGAACATGGAAGTGCAAATGCAAATCTATGGCTATGTTTAAATTACACCGAAGTAGCTTTTACACCCACACAAAGACTATAGCTGATAAGGCTTCTGTTCGCACATAAGAACGGTTAGTTCAAGGCGATTTCTGTAATGTAAGGGCAAAGGTACTCTGATAAATTTCTCACACTCTTTGCCGCAGTGAAAACAGGTATTAAGGTCGTTGCGTAAATGATCAGAAGAGAGGACTGGAACCCACTCAGACGGAAGAAGTGAGTATTGAGATGTAATGCACCAAACCCTCTTCGCCAACCGTTCCTGTACAATGTGCGATATGTGTTAACGACTTATTCAAGCTCTGGCCGGTGCCATTCAAACTGTACCGTAGAACACCGCGGCAAAACGCAATGCGCATGAGCACAAAATTTAATATCCGGTCAGCTTTTTATTTCCGGTCTAGTATATAAACCAATAGCGTAAGCATAACTTTGCCGTCGCGCCAAGTTTAAAAGCAAAAAGGGCGAAACAGACAAAAAAGGGGGCCAAAAAAATCACTTCATTCGAAAGCTTATATATTTTTCTATTCTCAAACTTTTGCACCACATGGTTATCTGTTTGCACCAACGGTGAAAATGATGTTTGAAGTTTGCAGGTCGCGAGCGTTCGACAAGACGAATTTGTTTTTACTGGCTTTCTTGCATGCTACTGGTTTGGCATAAGTTAATTTGGGAGAAGGCGACAACTAAGAAAAGAATAACAATACTTATGAAAGAAACCAAAATAAAGACGTCATCATTATCATAAAAAACACTAAAACCAGGAAATAAAATTTTAGTCCGTTCAATAATTTGTTTTATTATCAGAGAAAACAAGAACTCAAAACAAAAGATGGGCGGGATTTAATAACAACTTTGACTTTGATGACTGCAGTCACAGGGAAACTAAACATGCCTATAAACGACTTTCATTCAAGAAAATGCCTATTTAATTCTTTTACATGGTTGTTCTTTTGTTGAAGACTTCAATAATTTCAGACTTTGAGGCTCGGCTGCATCTCATGCAAACACGAAACTTCTAGCTGCTAAATACATGGCATGAAAAGTTCGACTTCCAAAAGCCACTAAACCAGCTTTCGCTCTCTGATTCTGAGAATGGAAAAATAAATAAATAGAGTTGTCAACTTGCTGCCAACCGGCTCAACAGTATAATTAAGCTTATGTTTCATGGCAATCAACCCAGAAGAGTTTCGTTTTAAAACACGGTAAAACCCACTGGTAAACAAAACTACAAAGCGATTGTGTGTTGTCGTTTTACAAATAAAGTTTGAATCGGCTTTAACACATGTAGACTGAGAAACTGAAGAACTAAAAATTAGAACTACAATACACAAGCTTGCAATGATAACGTTTTAATTTTATGTCTTAGTTTCAGCCAGGTCAAGTGAAAAATAACAGTCAAAAACCTTATTTTCGTGAATGAAAATCAGTTTACCTGACGCTCTAGCCAAAATTACACACTGAGTTATTATCATCTTACCTTTTCTGAATCTAATCGACTAATTGTTTCAGTGATCTGTGCCTGGTTATCCATAAAAGCAATTTCAATAACTACAAAATAGTCAAAAACACGAGCAGCATAAAGCAGAACAACTGAACCACAAGCTGCCCACAGAATGAAGCACGCGGGAGACTTTGACTGGAAAGTGTGACTGAAAAAGAGACCGGAAATGCTCAATCTGGCGCATGCGTAGACGTTTTGCCGCGGTGGTGTACCGTAGAGCCTTTCGTGTAGGCAAGAAAGGGTATCCGGTATTAGTAAAATCCAACTAGTGGTCTATTCTGATTGGTTGAGCTACTACTAGGCTATATGTCATACAAGTACAAGTAGCTACAAGTAGCGAAAAGCGCAGGCTTTGAAAACCAAAACAATGGCGGCTGAGTCGCGTTTTGCTAGCCAAAGTTGTTTTGTCTCGATATTTTTGACCAACTAGTTGGATTTTACTAAAACCCTATTATTCCTCTCGCCCTCATGGCCTCTGAGTCAATAGCTATTGACTCAGAGCCCATTCGGGCTCGAGGAATAATTGTTAATTATGTAGACATAGCTCAGAGCAACAGCTAGGAACAACCAAAGGTGGATCACTATACGTTTCTGGGAAATTGCCCACCTACCCCTCCCCTAAGCTAACATTTTGCCTTAAGTGAGAAGTAAGTGTTAATGTTGGCTTAGGGGAGGGGTAGGTGGACAGTTTCCCAGAAACGCATAATAATCCCCAACGGTTAAGGAGTGCGGAGGACTTTCACGCTTCTGATCGGAGGTCAAAACGCACTTGCGCCAACACTGTATGCGCTTCGATTTATTTTCACGTGATAGAAGGTCAAAACGCCATCACCAGATTGCAAGAGATAGAAGGTACAAACGTGCGTGCTCAGATTGCTTTCTCTGTATTCCATTTATTCTTAGTGGAAGACCAAACGAATGCTGGCTACATACGTGCCAAGCCTGCTCCATCGAAACCTGGGCCGAGTTGTTCAAAGCTGGGTCAAGATAACCCAGGGTTAGTGCGAGATTGAATTAAGATTTCAAAGTTTAAAAAGCATTTCAGTTTTAATTTTTTTTTGTCTACAAATTGATGATTGGAAGCACTTAAAATAACAGAGAAAATTATCCGAGAAAATCCTTTTGTACACAAAAAAAGGAAACCACGGGTTAAGCGCTAATCGGTCTTCGAACAACTGGGCCCTGGAGATTAAGATTGCGGACTCCTCTGGTGGCCCGCAACATCAGTGTACAAACATGAATAAACGTACCAGCCAAACTATATATGGTGCCGACATTGATCCAATGCGAGCTGAGGCGGATGACACTCCCATACCGATATTCCTGGGAAAATAAATGGAAGAATAATTGATCAGTGGAATGTGTACACGCACAGCAAATTCGAATTCAAACAAATTACCAGTTTATTCTAAGAATGAGATGTAAACTCAGTTGACCCGAATAAAAATTCTAACCGAGGGTTTCTTAAAATATGCATCAAGAACAACTAGAGGGAAACGCGGTATTTAAAAGCGCTATTTAACAAATCGACAACCATTTTTCATTTTCTGTACTCTTAGCGACCATGGAAATGACGTCAAAATGTTCAAAACTCAAGCGAAACAACAAGCACGAAGCCGAGTCACTTAAAAGTTTGGAACATTTTGACGTCATTTCTATGGTCGATAAAAGTATAGACCATGGAAAATTGTTGTCGATTTGTTGTTACAACACCATTGACAGCTTTTGGCGTCCATTTCTGTTGAGGTTTCTCAGAAAATGGCAACCACTTCGCCACCATCACGTCATTTCTGTGGTCTGTACTCTTATCGACAGTAACTCTCAACCAATCAGCGCGTCAGAAATCGCTCAGTTTTTGTAAAAAGAGAAAAGGAGTTACAGCCAATACTGAGATAATGTTAGCACGAGAATGGCGTCAGGTTATGTCTACTCGCGCGTCAACCAGAGGAAAGGCCTTTTTCTCTTTAAAACTGCCTTAATGTGAACTGCTGTCTTTTCTCTCATAGAGGTCATTTGCCCGATTGTTGGCAACAAATCTGCCCCAAATCAAAATACAGTCTAACTGCAGCTCCACAACGGCCACCTTGGGGGCAGACGAAAGTGGCCGTTATAGTGAGGTGGACTTCGTAGGGAGGTTTAAACCAAAGCAAGAAAGGATAAAAGGTCTCCTTTATCCTCTCTTGACCAAAGTCAATGTAGGGACTGTCCGCCAAAAAAGTGACCTTTGTTAAGAGGTTGTAGTTAGTGGGGGTTCGAGAGTTAGTTCGGAGGTTCTCAGTGAGGTTGACATGCTCATGCTTCGCACAAAAACACTTTTGTTGAAGCTTAAGCAAACAACAGTAACAGATCCGGACCTTTAGGTGGGAAGCGAAACATCTCTTAGACTCGGCCCTGCGGGCCTTAGCTACGTTTAAGTCTAAAAATAACGGTGATCCCTTTCCATTGATATATATCCAAACTGTACCAACAATACCTGATAACTGTTGGGAAAAGTTCATTGGAGAACACGTAGATTGAACTAAACGACATGTTGATGAAGAACTTGGCGACGCCTTGTGCCATGATGATATTTGCTACCAGGAATCCTGAAATTAATGGTGGTGACAGGATTGAGTCATAGAGTGAATTGAAATCATTATAATCTGTCATTTAGATATAAGAAGTTGAAATGATTTTAGTCTCTCGCCAGAACCTACGCGTCTCATCCCAAAAACAATCCGCATAAATTGAGTTCAACTGAGATAGTAGACGTTCAAGCGCCGCCATGCTCAACTTACGTTTTCAAAAACCTTCCTTGTCGTGTAAACAAAAACGCATCAAATGCCTCACGTCCACACTAGCAAAATAGCACATTTCTGACGCGATGTACGCTAATTGCCGCATTGTCTGTTCATACCTATATATACTTATTAATTTACTTATTACATACTTTTATTAGTATTCCCCAGGGGGCTTTTCAATACTAAACAGCAAAGAACATTACAATGAAAAATGAATAAAATTATAAAAAGGGGTTCCCTGCATTTTAAGCTGAAAATTATGTCTCGATCGACAAAATTCAGAAATTAGGAGGTTTAACTATTCAGACATAAACAAAAAGAGAGCTAAAAGCATTCTCCGGTCTCCCTGACAACACAAGTGTTGCAAACACTATAAGACACGAAAAGCTAGTGGTGGAATGGGCCGGGATTTGGTTGGGTTACCTCTATTTTTCAGGTCGCGCTGGAACAAAACTGCAACAATGGAAGCAATGCACGCTACGACCACGCCCAGTACAGTGGTTTTTTTTCGGCCAATCCTGAAACATAAAAATGCCGGGTAATTTACTGATTTTCATATTAATTCATTTCTGGCTCTGTTAGTCATAGCTCATACGCTGTAGTATAAGAGTCATTCTTGGTTCAATTTTTTTCTGTCTCTTTCCATTGCAATTATTTCACGATAATGAATATAAAATGACGAATATGAAATTGGCCGTTTGTACCGGGACACCCGATATAATTAATGCCAATGTACTGAGAAAGTACATACATGTAGCACGGATGCGTATATTTTCTAGTTTTCAATCCCCCATAATAGCAAGGGGTAAAGGACAGACACTAGAAAGGAGGCAGACCTTGATCAGTACACCATGTTTTTCTTTTACGTTACATTCTTGTGTCTAATAATTGTTTATTTTTTTGGAAGGATTCTATTAGGAATTGTTCAAATTGAATGATTTGAGTAAATTGCTTTTCATGCTTACATACATACCTACGGCAGAGTACTATGCATGTCCAGTTAGACGGAATCTCTACGAGGCTTGTCAAGAAGAACACCAAGTAACGATTACCACCAAACGTTCCCGCGCTGAATGAAACAGCGTAATAAACTAATGATATGACCATCCTAGCATTGGAAACAGAAAGTTGGTTAGAAATTTCCGTTCAGTCAGAGCCGTTCCTATAAATAGTTAGAGAAAATGTATCGTCAACGGGAATTCTGTAAAAAAAATCCATGGCAATTCAAGCAATTATAAGGGCAGAAGCTATAAACCATTGCTGCTCCCGAGATATGGAACTGTGGTAACAGTAAATCAGTAGGATGCCTAAAATATGCAAAATTACACGACTGATTTCGACTGCAGTAAATCATATACCAAACGGGCGCAAAACATTTTTCTGAGGAACCAACCGGCAAAATGCATGCAGGCACAGTCACTGACGCCAGGGCATATTACTACACAAAACGAAGCAAAATAAGCTAAAGTAGATGTAACTCCGTTACGTACGCGCTAACCAATAGACGCGCGCGATTGACTATCCACAGAACCGTCACCATTGTCCGACAAATGCAGTTTATTTCGCAGAAAAAGCCGCCACAAAAAGGGTGAGAACCTTTGTTAAACATAGACCGAAAACTGGCAAATAGCTACTTTCCATTCCGCATTGTATTATACCACTTATTGTTGTTCCGCTCAAAGTAAAAAACTTATCATCTCTACTACGGGAAAAAAAATCAGGCTCATCAGGGATTTGTTCAAAGTTTGATCGTCCTGATGGTCGGAGAACTGAACACTTGATCCATTTGAGCGAAGTCAGATCATTTGGAGAAAAGAGCTTACCATGTAAAAATCACTGAAGAAAGTCTGTCTAACGCGGGTAGAAAGAATTGTCACATGTCACGTAAGTACTCGTACGGTAAATACAGAAAATATATGTTCACCAACCAAGAAAAACAGGATATCAGAGTTCTCTTTGTCATGTTAAAGGAACTAAAGAGGTCGCGGAAGTCCCCAGTTCTCTGTCCCTCCTTAGCGTCTTTCAGTTCAAGTTCTTCATCTGGCATTTCTTTTCTATTGAAGGCAGCCACCTTTTGGAGTTTTTCCCGTGCTTCCTCTTTCTTGTTTTTTACAAGAAGCCAACGAGGAGATTCTGGTATAAACCTGAAGTGAAACATTACACTCAGAGGGTTATCAACAGATTGACACTATTCGGGAAAATAACAAAATGAGCGATGGTGAGCTCATAGACTTCGCGCATCTGTTTTAGTCCCGAAAAAACAAATTTGGCCCTGCGGGCTCAAAACGTGCTTCAGCCTCTTTTGGAGGGCCCCTGCCCTGGATCGGCCACTAATCCGAAGAGTGCGGATGTAATTTCACATATATATACAGTACTTGATGATTGGCAAACAACACGAACCATCTTTCATGAACTGTACTTACCACCAGAAGAAAATTTGCAGGAGGCCTGGGGCTGATCCCACGATGGAAAGTGTTCGCCAGTCTCTTATCAGGTAAGCAATCAGTGCAAGCCACAATAGGGACAAGACCCAGAAATAGAACAAGGTGGTTCCAATCATGTGACGATGACGTTTTCCAACATACTCCACAAGTAAAACGTAAGAAGCGAGACCGCAAGATCCTGTAAATCAAGGAAAGAGATAGAAGATGATGTTGAAACTAAGCCATGTTACGACCCGCTGTTTGTTAGTTAGACCGGACTCGGAAAGAACGGCGCAAATCGACCCTATACCGAGCTAGCAATCAATGTGATTTGAGTCGACCATGAGACTACACATTTGGGTTCTAAAATTAGCTAAAAAAAGCTGGCTTCAAATGGCCCTATGATCGCCATCTTAGGGCGGGCTACAATCCGGTTCGGTCCTAGAGCCTTAGTTATCCTTATCCAGTAGAACGGAGTGAATGCTGGCGCTGATCAGAAGGATCGCAGCCTCTGGAAACGAGATTGCGCGGACTTAAGAAATGTGCGCATATTTCAAGAAACAAAAGAAGATTTCATCCATTTCAGGGGGTTACCTAAGTTTCCAAATCTATCCGGACAAGTTTAGTGTATCTGAGGCCCATATTAAGCTGCATGTTGCATAATAATTAGGAGGTTGGAGACAACGTGCTAAAAAAAAAAATTGAGTATGTAATAAAAGTGAGTGCGACAAACTCCGTCACAGCATATCCATTGACAATGTTATGTCAAGGGGGATTTCCACTGTCGCGTAATTTTTACGTGCGTAATTTTAACGTTAAATAGAGGCAATGTAACAAAGGTCACGCATAAACGTAAAATTTTAACCTGACCTCCCTCAGCTTTTACGTTTACGCTCATTGTCTATCTTACTTACATTTTTTGTCTCTATTTTTTATGTAAGTAGATGGGTCGGGTTGTTCAAAGTTGGGTTAAGATAACCCAGGGTTAGTACGAAATTTGAATTCAGATCTAGATATGAAAGCTTAAAAAGTAAATTCACTTTAATTCTTTTTGTCAACAAGTTGATGATTGGATGCTTTTCAAAATAACAGAGAAAATTATCTGAGAAAATTATTTTGAACAAAAGAAAAGAAACCCGGGTTAAATTTAACCCTGGGTTAAGCGCTAATCGGCCTTCGAACAACTGAGCCCAGCAGGAGCCTAGGTTGACATTTAACTTAAGCTACTTTCACAGGGCACCGGACGTAACTTTCGACCAGCTGAAAAATTTGACCCGGGACACTTCGTTCACTAGGAATCGCTTAATGTTTTCGTTCTGTTCACACCGAGCTTTGAACGACTAGGCCTAAACGCACGATAGTCTTAGTATTTTATTGCCTTCGGGCCCGAGGGGGAGCTTGGGTTAATTTTTGCTGGGTATGTGCCGCTGGCCTCTTTGGAGCCCCTACCCCATTATAGTCTATTCTGTGGCCAGTCATGAAACGTGAAACGGCAAACTGATCCTTACGGCAAGGCGATAAAGAAGTAAACAAAAAAATGAAACAAAAGAAAACATATATTTAAACAAATTGCAGACTATATTGCACAATATATATATTTAAACAAATTGGACAATTTGTTTAAGTATATATTTTTTTTGTTTTATTCTTTTGTTTACTTCTTCATCACCTTGCCGTAAGGATCAGTTTGCCATTTCATATTTTTCTACAAGTTTAATTGTACTGATCCAGGTCTACAACTGGGAGATCCGGCACCACTCATTGGTTTGATGCTGTGGACTTGCTGACATTTTACATATTTTGCCAATTATAGACCCCATCCTAGTCACCGTAAATGTGAAGAACTTTCTTACCCCAAAAAATCAGAAAATATGCGACCCCATCATAGTCAATCCAGTGGTGAAAATTCGACCCCATACAGCGGCACATCCCCATTAGCCTCTTGTAAGGAAGTACCCCCCACTCGCCCCTCCGGGGCTTCGGGCCAATTGCAACTATCGATAATCAACCTTGAATTCGAAATTCCGCCCACTCGCTACTTACCGCTGAAAACACCCACGAAACATCTAAGTAAAACGTACAGCCAGTAAACATGGACGAAAGACGCAGCCAGTCCCATAATACTACAGAGTACAGAAGAGAAGTAAAGTATTGGCTTGCGTCCAAATTTGTCTGATAGAACTCCTCCAACAAGGACACCGATCAAGACACCAAGGAAATTTACAGATTTGGTCAGTTGGGACAGCGCTGATACTCTACAAACCAGGTCGAACTGAGAGAAAATCACAAGAAAAATAGGGTCATATTCAGTGCCGAAACTACAACATATTCAATCGAGATATTCAGGCAATTGCTATTCCATTAAAATAAAATAATGTCTTTGAAGTATTATCATAATTTAGAGGAATAAATTTGCAACATATTAAGGCGACAATGTCAGCTAATGTCTTAATGGTGTGTTTTGTTATTCCTGTGAGTGCAAAAAACCGTTTGGAAGGTTGTAAAGTGCCAAACGGGAAGGCTCCGCCAGAAAGGGGTATCTTTTTCAGGTTTCATGTGTATAAAAGAGTAGGGTTTTCAATCGTTGAAGTTTATGAAAGGGTACGAAAATCTGTCATATCATTCTGTGGTAAAACGACCCAAAAAAGCTAACAGAGGCATCTTATAGCTGTGATCAGAAACTAGATAACAGAAAACGTCTTGGTTTAAACACACTGAGTGATTTATTCATATTTAAATGACGGTGCATTTACAGCAGTCAAAAGGGATGCAGCATTCCATACTAGGTATGTAAAAAGGATACCATTTGTCAATCGAAGGTATGCGAAAGGGATACCTTTTCTGCGTCAATGTCATGTCATGAAAGGATAAGGAATTGGACCTCGAAGCGGAGCCTCGCGTATAAAACTTTGTTGGGTGTCCCCCTCGGGCAACTGATAATCGAGAACTTTTCAGATTCTAAGGCAACAACGACTGCGAGTTCGAGATTTTCTCAATTATACTAAGTAGCGCTCGCGCGTGAACCTGCGTCATTTTGGCGGGAAAACGTGATAGCCGTCGTCATTCTACTAGGCTTGGATAAATTCTGCTCCTAAAATGGCTTATTCTGCCTGCCGGCAGTGCTCGTAAAAATTGCTTATTCTGCTCGAATTCTGCTCGGTATTCGAAAAGATTTCGGCCCTTCGGGCCGTATTTATTTTCGCAAATATATAGGAGAGCGTGGGCCTAGCTCCTAAAAACTAATTCGTAGCAAAATTGTAGTTCATCTTTCTTTTAATGTGAGTGCGTTGTAGCTATTAAATAATCAAATTTATCACAAGGTATTTTCCATTTATTTTTTATTTAGTTTTTAAGTTTTCCTACAACTGTTATGCATATCATTTAAGTGCCGCTGATTTTCCCTTATTCTGCTCAAATTCTGCTCGAAAATGCCTTATTCTGCCGGCAGAAGGCTCGCCCTGCCAAAAATAGCTTATTCTGCTCGAAATTGTGCTGGCAGAATTTATCCAAGCCAACATTCTACTACTTCAGTATTAATAACCGTAGTAACGTTTTTGCGAAAAAAAGTAAACTGAAAAGTTTTCCAGAGTGTCATTTTTTTGAGAACACGCGCACAAACTTTACGTTAAATCTCGTACTTGTACTCGTTCTGGTACTCAATCTAAAGCTCTCTAATGTCGTAGTGGCAAAAAAAAGTTTTATCATTTCTGGGTTGCTTATTTTTTGACGCGAAAAAACGAAATAAAATCAAATCTCCTACTCGTATTCGTTCTAGTCCTCGTATCTACTAGCAGGCGGGACTTACCTCTGTTACAACTGAGTTGGTTATTTCATTCGTGTCAAACTCCCAGTCATCTCGGGGAATTGAACAGCGAAAGTTATAATTGTGATCTCCAGGTTTGAATATTCCTGTAAGGTTACAAGCAGAGCTGCCTTCTTTACAGCGCCACGGCGGTTCAATGCTGAGAAATGTTGGGATCATTACGAGAATGCTGTTTCCAAACAGATACATAAAACCAAAGATTAACAGCAGTCTGAGCTGATATCGTCCAAAGCTGCCAATCTTGTCCAGCACGTCATCAACTGTAAGACCCATGATTAGCTACGCAAAACAAAAAACAAACCAGAAATTTCATCACAAACATGGCCTGGTAAAATTACCTTGTTATCCATATTAAGGTGATTCGCTGGTTTTGCACTGCGCATAACAAGGTGGCCGCCGTGAAAAGACTGAAAAAGAGCATCTGAACTAACATTGTTAAATGAAGATGACTGAAGAGAAACACTATTGGAATTTTCGCTTGCGGTTGTTTATGGCCGAGATAAGACTAGATTGCGAAAAGTCTCTCTTTTTCTTCAGATTTCGTGAGAGCAATGCACGCGCGCGGGAGCGTGGAAGCCGCGAGACGCGCGAAACGAGGGCGGTACGCGCGTGGCCATTTGCGTGTCTCGCGTTTTGCTCGACGGACTACAGAAAAAAGAGAGACTGCTCGTAGTCTAAGATAAGACTCACGGTGTTGGAATGTGCATACCGCAAGAAGTACTCGTGTTGCTGAGTTCGACTTCCTCACGGAGAACCTCGATAGTGGATGTTTAACTTGTGCTAACTCACTTTGATTTTCATTTAAGCGGCGCCATCTTTATCACATTGTGTCCTAACTATGATATCTTGGTGTAAATTCTGTAAAAACAAACAATTTTGAAACTCGCCCCAGTCCTCTCTCAAAATTGGTACGCAGGAAAACGTGATAGCCGTCGTCATTCTACTAGGCTTGGATAAATTCTGCTCCTAAAATGGCTTATTCTGCCTGCCGGCAGTGCTCGTAAAAATTGCTTATTCTGCTCGAATTCTGCTCGGTATTCGAAAAGATTTCGGCCCTTCGGGCCGTATTTATTTTCGCAAATATATAGGAGAGCGTGGGCCTAGCTCCTAAAAACTAATTCGTAGCAAAATTGTAGTTCATCTTTCTTTAAATGTGAGTGCGTTGTAGCTATTAAATAATCAAATTTATCACAAGGTATTTTCCATTTATTTTTTTTTTTCCACTTTCTGCAGCTCTACAGCAAAAACGTTTACGGTAACCCCATTTTTTATTTCATGATGTTAATGAGAACATTGCTTCCTTTTAATGAGAAAAAAATTGCCATAAATTTATGTTCAGTTTTTTGGCAGTTTTACTAAATTGTACGGATCAAGCTATAACAGGTCGAATAGCGCGTGTCCAAATTTAGTCGATTTTGGAACGTTAAGTAAAAACAAGGGCATTAACAGGCATTTTGGGGGTACGTAAGTAGATAAACGATTCATTTACGTCAAATTCTGTGCGATACCACATGCATCATCGAAAAAATCTCTCCCTTTTGTCTAGTTTTGAGCTGCGCGCGCG